TGGAACTGGAGAGCATTATGCTAAGCGAAATAAGCCAGGGGGCGAAAGACAAATACCATATGATCTCACCTATAAGCGGAACCTAACCAACAATACAAAGATGCAAGGAAAATATGACCAGCAACACTGAAAGGAAAAGAAATCAACAGAGACAAGAGGGAAGGGGGGCAGGGAAAGGGAAGGGAAGGGGAAAGTCAAGGAACATATAACAAGGACTCATGGACAAAACCAAAGGGGAAGAGCTGAGGGAGGGAAAGAGGGAGGGGGCAAGGGGAAGTGGTGGGGGGTAGGCAGAGACAAATGTATTTGAAAAAATAATTTAAAAAAAAATAATGATGCCTGTGTTCAAATATATGGCTGTGATTTTCTTTTTTTTAATTTGAAGATGTAGAACTTCCCAAGGTATCTGAAAGGAAAAGTCATTCCTGCTTCAATGATGGCCATTTTGAAAATATAGTTTTCCATCAGGGACTGTTGTTATGCAATGTGAATAGGATGTATCTTTCCTGTGGAATGTCTGCAAGAAAAATCAAATCGGTACTTTAATTGGCATGGCATCTTAGTGTTTCTGAAACACTTTCAAATCCATGTCCCATTGAATTGTTTCATGGTGAAGACCTCAGCTTTGGCCTCTGACACACCTGTGGTAGGGTCCAGGTCCCAACACTTCATGGCTGTGTGAGTGGGAAAGGCACTTAACCTCTCCGAACCTCAGTTTCTTCATCTGCAGTTCTATTCAAAGGATAGTTAGAATATTAAGTGTGGTGATAAAGATTGAGTACCTTGAATAGCCTACTGCAGGTGAGTGCTCAATAGATCCTAGCCAGTAACTCTGTCCTCATGAGCATGCTGATGACGTCCATGGTGTCGCATCCACAATTCCAGAGATAAGAAACATACAACTCAGAGACGGTCATTGTTTTGCCTGGGGTGGCCTGGCCACCGGGTGACAAGCCAGCCAGGCTCCAGCTCTGTCCCTGACCCCACAGCTCCTGAATATTCAATAAGTCAGTGCTGCTCCATATTTAAAGGCCTTTGTTCAGGGCTAATAACAGCTCTTTGTTGATGTCCAGAGGGAGGAGTGGCTTCCGGTCTGGACTTGGACTCTCTAGCCCCCAGGCCCCTGTGCACTGCTCCCCTGGTTTGCTTTAAGGAGCCACCATTACTAATTTGAAGTGTGTCATAGCCTCAGGGCAGGGCAATGGAAGGCTGACGGAGACTGGTAGGCTTGCTCTTGGCTACTGGCCAGGCTCCGGTCGCGTGGCTGTGTGTCATTTGCAAGGGACAGCTGTTCCATTGTGTCTGCACAAGCCCATCAGAGGGGAAGAGGAGAAAATTACAGCTGTGCACCGTCAGACTCCAACTCAGAGCGAGGCCTTGGCTGGTTCCCTCTTCCCCAGCACCCGCTCTGTCCTGCTCAGGAGCCCCTCTTTGTCCTGTTAGCTATACGTACATTTATGGAGTCTACTATGTGCCAGGCATTGGACTGAATGTTTCTGGCTATGAGGGGGACCCCCTAAAACCAGAATTTTCTCCTAGAGGGCAGGCCCCTTGTAGTATAGGCTTCCCCCACTAGGTGAGTGTTCTAGGAACCCATCTGTACCAGTGTTCCAGCTGGTGGTGTTGTGAGAGGCTGAGTTCAGCTTCAGTGAATTTGTTTTTGAAGACTCTTTTTACACATTTGCCTGTTTCATGATGGGTGATTTACAAGTGCACCTGCCCTCACTGCACTGAGTGTTCAGCAATTTTTGACCAAAAATAGCATGAACCCCTTGCCCCACCCTCCCTGTTCACCCAGTCTCACCCGGAGTGACTTATTTTTGGTTTCCCCGGATGAAAAAGTCCTCAAAAGGAAACGTTTGCTGATGTGGAATAGGTGAAACAAACAAACAAAAAAACAAGTCAGAAACACTAAAAGATATCAAAATCAACACGTTCAAAAACTGTTTTGAGCAGCGGAAAAAACATCTTGATAGGTGTATTGTGTCAAATGGAGAGTACTTTGAAGATGGCCGAAGTTTAAACACGTAAGAATAAATACACAATTTTTTTTATAAATAAATTCTGTTGTTTGGGCAGTTCCCCCTGGAATGTGATCACGGCCAATGTTCATAAGTGAGCCCCCATGGTGGATCCTCTTCTTAGCCTCGCAGCTTCCAGAGCGACCCTTTAAAACATAGTCAGATTATGACGTGCTTCGGCCCAGAGTCCTCCCTGCCTTCCCATCCGCCACATCCAAGGGCGGCAGCAGTGCCCACAAAGTCTGACTGGGTCTGGCCCGGCCACCTCTCTGACCTCCCTTTTTCTAGTGTCCCTGACCCAGTTAGCTATTGTTGCTTAACAGAGTACTCCAAATGTGATGGCTAAAGCCATTTTATTGTTTCTGCTGGTTCTGTGCATTAGGAAATCAGCGGAGCGTGGAGGAGACAGTTTGCTCTGTGGCATGTCATGTCTGTTGGGGCTGGAGTGTCCAGATGGCTTCTTCACACCCATGGCAGGGCCTGGCAAGGATGCCCTGGGGAACTGGGGACTGGCAGTAACGGCTCACCGAGGTCCTAAGCCTGAGACCTTGAGCCTGAGCTCTCCTTGGAGGTTGTGGCCTCTTTCCTCTCCAAGTGGTTGCCCTGGCAGCTTAGCCTGACTTCTTACACGGCAGCACTTGACTCACAAGAGGGCAGCACTGGAAGCTTCAAGCTCTTGTGAGGCTTGGGTCTACAGCTGGCAGAGCGTCACTTCTGATGTGTCCTTTGGTTAAAGATTCTAAAGTGAAGGGCTGGTGTGGCTCATCGGGGACCACCAATGAAACAGGCTTCTGTTCATTTACTTTTCTCCAGAACCAGGCCTCCATGCTCCTCTTCAAACATGCCATGCACATCCCTGCCCCAGGGCCTTTGCACTTGCTCTTTCCATCTTCTAGGATGCTCTTCCCCAAATATCCACAGAGCTCACACCCTCCCTCCATTCAGCTTCAGCCTAAATACCACCTTAATAGAGAGACCATACCTGACACCAGCTTATCAAAAATAGCACATCTTGCCCTTTACCTCTGTCCACTCTGTTGTGTTTTTTTAAATCACTTATTGCCTGCTGGCATAATATTTATTACCTATTTATTGTCTGATTTCCCCTGCCCTCACCTCAGAATATAAGTGCCACGTGAGTAGGGCATTTATTTTGTTCTCTGTGGTAGCTCTAGCTCCAAATCTGATACATGGTAGATGTATTTGTTAGATAAATATTAGACTAGAAGAAACTGAAGCTCAGAGAGGTTAAGTAAGTTTCCCAAAGACACATAGCTATAATTAACAGAGCCAGGATTCAAACCCAAGCAATTTAGCATCTAATATTGAGCCATAGAAGCTTTGTAGCCTGTAAGGTTAATTGCTTAGTTAATTATGGCTGCTTCCTATTTTCTCTCCTTATGTCAAATCAGTCTTCACTCAGAGTGATCTTCCCACAACTAAAATTGGATCAGGCATAAAACCCATCCTGAAGGTGGTGTCCCTCACCTTGAACAGAAAAACCTCCCTTAGACCACAACACAAGGCACAGCAAAGCCTGGCCTGCAGCTGTGGTCTGGTGTAGTAGAGCGAATAGAGATTTTTGAGCCAGGTAGACCTGGTTTTGTTCCCAGTACCCCAGCTCACAGGCTCTTTAAACATGGGCAGATTAGGAATGCCATCCATTCATCCATCCTCCCAATAGGTATTTACAGACTCCTGCTCTGAGCCATGAATTGTGCTAGGTCCTGTGCCACTGGGGTAGACATACCTATTTATTGGGGTACTCACAGAGCCACCCAAATAAAAAATATGTACTTACAGAATGTGATAAGTGCTGTAAAGGACTCATGGTGTGGGAAAATGTGTCACAAGACAACTGTAATAGTGTAGTGAGGTAGGGACAATTTCCTGAGGAAGTGACGTTTGAATAGAGGCTAAGAGGGTAAAGACATGGGCAAGTTCATTTGAGGATGAGGGAATAGCATGTGCCAAGGCTCTGAGGAGGGAACACATTTTAGTATTGGAAACATCCTAAAAAATGTGTGCAAGGCAAAGAACCTGAGGAGCTGGAGAGGCAGGCAGCAGCCAGATCATGCGGGACTTTTGAGGGTCGGCGCAAGGGCTGAGGAACCCCTCAATGACTTTATTTTCCCATCTGAAAAAGGGGATAACAATAGACCCTTTCCCAGTGTCTGTGGTTAGCTGGGCATCGGCTGGCTGTAGACTGGTCTGGGATGGTGTCAGCGAGGTCATCATCCATGTTCTACATGGTCTCATCCTCTAGCAGGTTAGCTCAGCTGGTTCACATGGCAGCAGCTGGGGTCCTGAAAGCAGCAGAAACCCACAAGCTTAGAGCTGGCATAGCATCATTCCCACCATACTCTGTTGGTCCAAGCAGGTCACAGGACCAGTCCAGACCCCATTGAGTGCACACAAAGCTCTCACCACAGTGCCTGGTTCCTAGGAATTGTTCCGTAAATGTTATTACTGTTATTACTGTGCATAGCACTTTATGCTTTTTGATGCTTTATTCCATACGTCATTTTACCCTGCACTGTGTGAGAATAGTTGGGGCAAACATTACTAGCCCCATCTGAGAGAGCGCTGAATCCTAACCACTAGACCACCAGGGAGCGGTACTAGTCCCATTTGACAAATGAAGAACAGAGTTTAGATAACTGTCTAAGGTCACACATTTAGCTAGTGGCTGCAGCTGAACACCAGCACTCAGATGTCATGTAACTTAAAGCATATTTGCAAACATATCTGTTGAAAGGGAGCCTATTTGTTGATGATTTCATTGTCCTGAGCACCATCCTGGTAAATAAGATAATTAAGATACAAATGCTTTTGTCAGTGGCCCGGGCTAGTGGCTGTTTGCAAGGTTTAGTTGTGATCTTTGAGGTCCAAGTCTCCTATACCACTTTTGTTTGTTGGCTCCCCAGAAAATCTGTTGGCTCACTGGGGTTAATGATGCTTTTCTTCTTTCCTACCCAGAGAGCCTCTCTTTGGACTCTAGTTACTTTTCTTCCCTGCCTGTGAATTTCCTCCAAGAATTGCCAAGCTACCGGTCCATTGCACGCAAGAGGACGAACATCATTTCTCGAGACAAGCAAAGTGGCACTTTGCTGAAGCCGACAGGCTCTTGCACCTCCCAGCTGGAGGAAGGAATCACTGAAAACCTTGATAGCCAATCCATTCGAAAGTATGCACTGAACATCTCTGAGAAGCGGAGACTAAGGTTTGTTGGGTGTCCACCTCGTGGCATCTAATGTAGGTTTTGGGGATGCGTTTTATGCATGGAATGTATTTTCTGAAGAGCTCACATAATCAAAACTTTATTACTTAGGGTAAGCTAATCTGCTCTGACAAAGATACCCAAACATGTAAAAGCTCAATCTATTAGAAGTTTATTTCTTGCTCACAAAGAAGTCCTGGGTCATGTCAGTGGAGGACTTTGAACTCATTTAAGAACCAGGTTCTTTCCATCTTAGGCCTCTGCAACCCTTCCAAAGCTTTGCTGCTGTCTGCCTCTAGCCAATGGAAAGGGAAAGAGTATGGAATATGAATGCACCAGTTGGCTGTGCTGTGTAATAAGTTACCCCACAACTTAGTAGTTTAAAACCACAATTTCACAAGTCTACAAGTCAGCGCTGAGCAATTCTTGTTGCAGTTGGGCTCTCTATATATTGCCAGCTGTGGGCAGAGAGGTGGTTCTGCTCATCTAGGGTTGGGGTCAGCTGGTTGTAGGCTGATCTGGGATGGCCTCATCCTCCAGCTGGTTAGCTCAGGCTCATATGCATGGCAGCAGCTGGTGTCCGAGGAGCAGAATTCTGCAAGTCTTCTTGAAGCCTGGGCTTAGCACGGGCACAGCATCGCTTCAGCTGCTTTCTGTGGTCTAAGCACATCACAAGGCTAGTCTAGAATATAATGTTTTGGGGATTTATCCATGTTGTAGCATGCCTCAACACTTCATTTTTTTTATGGCTGAGTAATATCCCATTGTATGAATATAGCTTATTTTGTTCATCTCTTCATCTGTTGATAGACATTTGGTTTGTTTTCACCTTTTGACTATTACAGTGTTGCTATGAACATTCTGGTGCAAGTCTGTGTTTGAGACTCTGCTTTCCTTTCTTTTGGGGTATCCACCTAGGAGTGGAATTATTGGGTCATATGTTAATTTCAGGTTTAAGTTTTTGAGGAATGGCCTCTCTGCTTTCCATAGTAGCCACAACATTTTACATTCCCACCAGCAGCGCATGAGTCCTCCAGGGCTTCCACAGCCTCTCTGCTGGGGTTTTATTTGATGCTAGGACTTGGCAATGGTGCCATAGTCACAGTCATGCTTGTGTTTTTTCAATGCAGGGACATTCAGGAAACCCAAATGAAGTATTTATCTGAGTGGGACCAATGGAAACGGTATAGCAGCAAGTCTTGGAAGAGGTTCCTAGAGAAAGCTCGTGAGATGGCAGCCCAGCTGGAGCTGTGGCGGGAGGACCTTCGCAGTATAGAAGGTACCACGCCCCATTCTCTGCACGTGCTCCTCCATGGCACTGCCTGAGGGACAAGTACAGCTTTGTTCACACTAACTTTTAGCTGAAATCTAGCATTTCCTTCCATGAATATAAGCAACACCATAGTTAGGATTAGCAGAACCTAACTGTGTCTTTGTCACCAGGAAAATCACAGATATATTTCTATTCCTTCTGGTTGTAGTTATCTTGGGAAACCGTTTATGCTCATCACCACTTTGAAGTCACAGCAGTTGTTAGATCTGTCACTAGATCTTGTTATTTAATGTGCTAATGAAAACATTCATTTGTTATTCTGTCACAGATTTGGTTTTGTTTGTATTTTTGTGCATTTAAAAAATTATTCTAAGATGTGGTTCACACTGCCACAGGTGCCCATGGCTCTGAAGATACTGAGAATCCCTACTTTCCCATAATGGTGACAGTGGGATGCAGTATTGCATTAGGCAGCTCAAGTTGCCATGACAAACTACCATAGACTGTGGGGCTTAGACTACAGATGTCCATTTTCTTAGCTCTGGAGACTTCAAGTTCAAATCAGGGCACCTTCTCACTATATCCTTATGTGGTCTCTTTTTTGTGCACGTTCTAGGAGAGATGGAGAGAGAAAGAGGTTTCTACTGGCGCCTCTTCTTACAAGGGCGCTAATCCCATCATGAGGGCCCCACACACATGACTTCATCTAAACCTCATCACCCCACAAAGGCCCTATCTCCAAATACAATCACATTGGAGTTAGGACTCCAACATACAAATTTGGGGGAAACACAATTCATTCTATAGCAAGTATACGAAAATTGGAAGTTGTGCCAAAGTATAAAATTAGAAAAAAAACCCATTTCAACATTTGGGTGACTTACCAGAGCGAGAGGGGAAAATCCCTTTTAGGATTACATAGTTTCTACCATAAAGCAAAATGATTTACAAGATTCTCCTCAAAACTGCCAGAATGAAAATTTTGTAAAATTTGTAAGAAATGTTGCAGGATAAATGGAAGAAATTATTGTCTTCATTCTTACTATTAAAAGACCTATAAAATACCATTGGTAATCCATTCAGTGGACTACCTTTTTTGTTGTTGTTTTATTGAAAGAGTGTAAACAATTTCTAAGAAGTTTCATTAGAAATTTAGAACTTCAACCATACACTTTTAAAAGTCAAGTGAACATCATGTTTGGAGTAAAATTTAATAATAAAAGCTAACCTTTATTGAGCCTTCACTATGAACCAGGCCTTGTGTTAAACATTTTACTCATATTACCTCCATTAGTCCTCACAAGATCCTTTCATACAAGTATTTATCACTTGCTTGGCTCAGAGAAGTTAAAACACTTGCACAAATTCACTGGCTAGGACAGAGCAGACCCAGAATTTTAACCCAGGCAGCCAAGCTCCAGAGGCGAAGGTGTTACCCACCATGCGCCTCGTGTTGAGTGGTGGGCTTTCTGAATATTTTCACTCAGAAAGTGGCTTGTGTGTTGGAGGGTAGTTTCTTCCTGGGGAACTGGAACCTTGATTTTCTCTTCAGTGAGTCCACTCCTGTGATTTCTTAGCTGGCAGGTGCTCATCTGGAAGGAAATGAAGGTGTGATAGTAAAGATCCTTGCTCTGGCAAGGTTACTGGGATTAGAGAGAAGCAAAGATTGTGGGTCTCTTATATCTTTAGTCTCAGAAGATGTTCTGAGCAGACACTCTCACTTAAAGTGCTTTCTGACTGTCCTTAATAATTTAATGATTATATGGTGGAAAGCTTGTTTTCTTCTTGAAAACTCAATGAATGTAATCCTTAACAGAATAAAGAGAAAAAGTATATGATTGTCCTAACAAATGCATATATTTGATAAAATTCAATTCCCATTCTTAGCAAATAAGAAATAGATGGGAACTTTCTTAATCTGGTGAATATATCCATGAAAATTCTGCAGCAAGCATCATATTTAATGATGAAATATTGAAAGATTTCCCCAAGATTGAGAATGAGAAAAAGGGTGCTAGTTATCATTGATTCCAATCTACGTCATCCTGAAAGTTATAGCCGATGTACAATAATGGGGCGGGGGGGAGGCATACTGAGTGGAAAGGAAAAAATAAAATGTCTTTTTAAAAAATGTCTTTTTAAAAAGTTACAGTTGTCCCACCTTTTCCCCTGTTCCCTGTTGCTCCCCCCGACCTGCCCCCGACCCCGGTCCCACAGTCAGTCCCCACCCTATTGTAGTGCCTGTGAGTCCTCTACTCATGTTCCTTGACTTGCCCCTTCCCTTTCTTTCCCCCATTATCCCCCTCCCCTCTCCCCTCTGATCACTGTTAATTTGTTCTTTATTTCCATGTCTCTGATTCTATTTTGCTCATTTGTTTTTTTGATTAGGTTTCACTTATAGGTGAGATCATGTGGTATTTGTCTTTTACCCTAAAATGTCTTCTTTTTAAAAGTAAAGTTACTAGATACAACATCTATATAAAACCAGTTGTATTTCTATATACCAGCAACAAACACTTAGAAAATGAATATTTTAAAATTATACAACTTACAATAGCATCAGAAGAAAAATGTAATACCTAAGAATATAGAATATATATAAAGATATGAATCATTCTGCACATAAAGTATACAATATTGAAATTAAAGAATCTAAAAATATCATGTTCATGGGTCAGAAGATTCAGTATAAAGATGTCACTTGTCCTCAGATTGATTCATATATATTCCATGTAATCCCAATCAGAATCTCAGCAGATTTTGTACGTGTATGTGTGTGAAAATTAATACACTGATTCTAAAGTTTATATAGAAATGCAGAGGACTAAGCATAACTGAGGAAGATCAAATCTGAAAGACTTATAGCACTATATGTCAAGCATTATTATGTCTACAATATTTAGACAGTCTGGTATTGGTTCAAGGATAAGCATATAGAACAACAGAACAGAATAGAGAATTCAGAAGCAGCTTCATACATTATGGTCAACTACCTAAGCACTATTGCAATTCATTGGGGAAAGGATAGTCTTTCAATAAATGGCACTAAAATTAGGTTTTCATATGAGAAAAGATAACAACATGTTGAGTCCTTGCGCATACCATCCTCAAGTGGTTAATTCAAGATTGAATGTACAGTGACAAGTCAAAGTTTAAACCATTAGAAGTGGAACCTTAAAACCAACAGTTACAAAAAATAAAATGTTTCTTTCTCCTTCTCTTCCACCAGGATTCCTCCAACTTCAGCCCCAGGTAGTTGAATAAATCTACAGTGAGTAGTGGGTCAAAATTACTGGTCAGTGATGTCTGGATTTCTTTCTCTCCAGGGAAATTTGGCACTGGGATTCAGTCCTATTTCTCCTTCTTGCGATTTCTGGTGTTGCTGAATTTGGTGATATTTCTGATCGTCTTTATGCTAGTTTTGCTCCCAATCTTGCTCACCAAATACAAGATCACCAACAGCAGTTTTGTGCTTATTCCATCCAAAGATGTGGGTGAGTCTCAAGGCCTGGTTTTCCATGAAGAATATTACCTGGCTACAATGCTTCCTTCTTTACGAATCTTTATATTCTTTGCCTTGGGTTACTGTATTAGTCAAGATGGGCTAGTTATGCTGCAGAAACAAATGACCCTCTAACTCTCAGCACCTAATGACCACAAAGGTTTCTTTCTTGCTCATCATACATGCCCGTCACTGTTTGGTGTGGCTTTTTTTCATGTTGTCTTCACACTGGAGCTCAAACTGATGGAGCAACCTCTTTCTGGACCATTGACAGTCACTATGCCCAAAGGGAAAAGAACCATGACAAAAGTGCTGGCTCCTAAACCTCTGCCTGAAGCTGACACATGTCATTTCTGCCACATCTCATTAACTAAAGGAAGTCACTTGGCCACTCCTGAGTTCAGCGAGGCATTTGGGAGGAGAACTGCAGGGCCAGAAAGTGGAATATTTAGCAAACATAATACAATCTACTTCAGTGTTTTCATTTCAAGACTTTCAGATCCAATAATGGTGATGCTCAGAGCTACCATTTATTAAATACTAATCATGTGCCAACAGCAAGTGTTGGAACTGTTGTTTTCTTATTGACTTCTCTACATAACTCAGATCTTTTGGGCATTTTGTTTGTTCAACTGGGAAGAGTTCCCAGTCATTCTACAGCCATTTGATTACTCTTTAGTACTAGGTTCTGTGCTGGGGCTAGAAGTGGCAGCCTCATGCTTCTCTTATCACATAATTCCTTCCCCTAGAAGAACCCTCTTCTGGAATCACTTCTGAGGCCATAAACATTCCTCCTTATCACATTTGTTTCTGTCTTAATTCTACTATACTTCAAAATAAAATAAGAGGGATGTGGAAACCCTGACTTAGTTCGGGACTTTCACATTCCTATTGAGTGCCTACTGTATGCCAGATGCTACATTCTCATTTTCTAAGTCTATTTTACAGATACATATTACCTGCTGCTATGTGAAAACCCTGGGTTCAATGTGAAGGCCTAGCTCTGCTAGCTGATTAGACTTTCTGAGCCTCAGTTTCCTTGTGCATAGAATGGAGGTGATAATTTAAATAATGAGATGATTAATTTCATTATTCAAACAATACCTCATTATTTAATACTTAGCTCATTAAAAATAATATTTAAGTATAAATAATTGAAAACAATATGAATTCTGTATTATTTAACATAGAAAATAAAAATGTTTAAATAAGTATGCAATACTCTCATCATTTTAAAATGAGTATTAAATAATACAATGCTCAGCACACGGAAAGCATTCAATAAGTGGCAGTTGCTATTTTTGTAAGTGTTATTTCTTTCTAAAAGCACCGAATGCCATTCTGCCTCTCATGTGAATCTGGAGCCTGAGCACTTAACCACTAGACCCGACTGCCTGGTGATTTCTCCCTTCAGCCATAGGTAGGGCCGTGGTCACAAGAGAGCCACCCACCTGTAGAAAATGCAGTTGAACTAAGTGTGGTTAGTGTGCATCCCTTCTTTCTTATCATTATTTCCTCTGACTATATCCTCCCCCTGCACACATACGCTTTTTTAAAAAACTTACCTAGTAAACACTGTCCCTTAAGAAAAGGATCAGAAAGCTTTCTCTTCTTTTTCTCACCTTCCTTCCCTTCTTCATCTCTTCAATGAGTGTTTATTGAACACCTGCTGTGTGCTGGGCCCTGCCTCTGGCACTGAGGCTGCAACAGGGAACACCACGACTCTATCCACAATGTTAATACATTCCAGCAGAAGGTGGGCTTTAAGGAATTAACCACATGAAGTATAAAAGGCATGAATTGGGCCATGGGGAAAATGAAGGGATAAAGTCCTGAGAAATTGCCAGGACACTGGAGCCTGAGGGTTCCCCAAAGGCCTCTGTGATACCAGGCGGGCGAGGGGAGGGCAGCTGTTGACGAACTCGGGGAAGCGTCAGCAGGCCGAAGGATCGCACCTGCGAAGGTCCAGAGCTAGGAAATAACTCAGTGTATTACAGAAACCCTTTTCTATGAAGGACAAGCTAATATATATTTTGGGCTTTACAGGCCATACAGTCTCTCTTGTCACTCTTCAATGTTGCCATTGTAGTGCAAAATAACAGACAAATGTCATGAATAGGCATGGATGTGTTTCTATAACTCCAAATAACTTGCTTTTGTATTAACAAAAACAAGCAGCTGGCCACATTTAGCCCATGGGCCATAGTGTGCTGACCTCTAGGCTGGAAGACAGTGAGTGAGGAGCACAGTGGCAGGCATCTCAATTTCATCTTCCTGATTCCTCTCCACAAATAGAATGACTGTCTCCTTCCTTTCCATATCATACCGTGTTCATGCAACCATTTGAGTACCTTCTGTAAACCCAACTTCTACCAGTCATTTTTTCACCCCTTGATGGTGAGCCTTTCAAGGGCAGGAACTGATTCTTACTCATCATTTCATCTTCAGCATCTAAGTGATTAAGAAATATTTGTTGAATGAATAAATGAGTACATGCATGTTAGAATTATAAAATGGCAGAGCTGGATTTGGCCTTAAAGAGACTAGTTCAACTCTCTTATTTTAACAAAGGGGAAACTGAGACCCAGAAAAGGGTGATGGATTATTTCCCCCAATTTGTTGCTCCCCTGTAATTGTGACTTTGCAGGGACTCTCACTGTGGGCAAAGAATACTTCCTGCTCCATTGATACTGCACTTGGCCACGTGGCTTGTTTTGTCTAGCGAAGTGTTAGCTTGAAATGACTTTGTGTGACTTGCTTTACGAGACAAACCATGAGGACAGCATCCCCCACATGAGTCATTTTCTCTCCAGCCTGGGCCCCAGAATGGAGTTGTGGGGAGTGGATCTGAGCCCGAGTGGAAGCCTGGATTCCACCCTGGCTCAGCCTAAATCAGCTGAATTAACCCCAACTGCAGATCCATGAATGAGAAAATAAATGGCTGGTATGTGAAGTCACTGAGACTTGGAAGTTATTTGTTACACAGCAATAGCTGACTGATGCAGAGGAAGTGAGTTAATTCAAGGATAAGGTAGTGTCAATAAAATTGTCAGTCAAATAATTTCTTGGTTAATTATATATGTACATAGATGTATATTTCAAATGAAACTGCATGTTTATTTACACACATGTAGAGATCTTTTAAAATTGGGTGTGCTTAAAACGAAATAATGATTATATCAATCACATATTCTAAAATCTGTACAAACATAAACCCCAAAACACAAAATACCAATACAAGCAGAAAATACTACTGTAAATGGACCCACATGCAAAATGTACAGAAAAAACATACACCTTCAGAGATTTAGGGAGAATAGTGAAAAGGGAAATGCTACTGTACTTGGTGCATTGGAGCTTAGTCTGCAAATAGAAAATCACAAATATACAAACACACAAACACACCCTTATACAAATACACCCATATATATATGACATCTAAATGTGTATACAAATACGTATGTGCACATCTACACAAAGGGTGCTAAGCAAGTTATAGAGACTGAACTGTTTCCACTGATCTTGTTTTCATTTTTTTTTTAAACAGATGTTCAATGCACAGTATATCCAATAAGTAGTTCTGGACTCATCTACTTTTACAGTTATATCATCGACTTGCTCTCTGGCACTGTAAGTATTTAACATAATTTTGTATTTGGGTCCTGAAGGTCCTGAAAATAGGTTAATTTAAACATCAGTTTCCTGAATGTCTTCAGTGAGAGCCAAACACAGTGTTGACACAAGTACCAGTGAAAGGAACCAGATTTGCAGTGACCTTATCCACACGGATAATGTCCATCCACCCCATGCTAGAATATACAGGAAATTTGCTTTGCCACCTTCAGCCTTTGTCCTTTTCCTAGCCCCTGCCACCTTTCTTATTGACCTGCAACAAAATACTGAGTCCCCCCACAGGAAAGTTTCAGTGAAAACCTAACAATTGGGGGTTCTAGGCCACCTGGATAAAAGCTGTGGCTCTTCTGTGCAAAATTACACACACAGACATGCCTGATGCATGCATATGCACATATGCCCATTCATGCGTGTGCACACATTTGTACACATACATGCATGTTTCCTCAAATCCCTTCAGAGTCTACTTATCCCAGGTTAACGCCCCCTTCTCTGAAATGGAATTAATCTCATCCTTATAGTAGTTCCAAGAGGATTTTTTTTACCTTCTAAAAAATGATTCTTTGTGAGCTTTCATTTTTTGATTCTACTTTTTTTCAGCAAATAAGAGCAGAGTTATGAAAAAAGACTTTTCCTGCCTTGTCTTCCTTTTAGATCAAGGTTTCTCAACCTCAGCATCGATAGTTCAGGCCCAATAATTCTTTGCCGTGGGGGCCTGTCCTCTGCACTGTAAGATGTTGGCAGCATCCCTGGTCTCCACCCACTAGATGCCAGTAGCAGCTCCACAGTTGTGACAACCACAAGTGTCTCCAGAAACTGCCAAGTGTGTCCTGGGGGACAAAACTGCTCCTAGCTGAGAATTACTCTGCTCAATATGTATAGAAATATCTTTCTGAAAATTATTGGTATTAAATGCTATGTCATTGATTGAACCTCCACTTTTCTGACTAGCTAAATAGAAAGTATTGAATTTGTCCACTGTGTTTAATTCTGAAAAAGTGTTTTTTACACTTCTGATGTTTTTCTCAAAATAACTGAGAGGAATTGTCAGGTGAAAATGTCCACTATGCAAAGAGAAAAGAAATTCAGTGACTCGCCCTAGATCACACAGCTAGTGAAATCAAAGTGGGATCAAATCCCAGTACTGCCCCATTTCTTTTAACATCCCAGAAAAGAAATCTGTAAAGTTCCACACATCATAACTTTCTCCCTAATAGGAAATATTCTATTGTAGACTTAGACAAACCTGATCATCACTGTTCAGTAAAGCATACCTCACAAAGAACAGCCCTGTTCAAAAGAATTTTCTACAGCGATGAAAATGTTCTGGAACTGTGCTGTAAAATGCAATAGCCAGTAACTCTGGAGCACTTGAAATGTGGCTAGTGTGACCAAGAGACTGAATTTTAATTTTATTAAAACTTTCAGTCTAAGCCCTGACTGGGTAGCTCAGTTTGATACAACATCATCCTGATACATCAAGGTTGTGGGTTCGATCCGCAGTCAGGGCACATACAAGAATCAACCAATGAATGCATAAATAAATGGAACAACAAATCATTATTTCTCTCTCTTTATCTCAAATCAATCAGTAAAAAAAACAAATTAAAATTAAATTTAAATTGGCCTTAAAGAGAGAGATAGCCAAAGCGATCTAACAGTGGTTTGTCTGTGTTGAAAACAATTGAGCCAGCCTCATTATAAAATCAGAAAAATGACTTCCCTGGCCCAGTGTCTCTTCACCCTGAAATGTACATAATTTTGAGGGAGAGATTAATGGCAACCCTGACATCGAACCCCAGGTAAATATAAACAGGTTTCATGTCATTGGGCAGGTTTTTATGGCCTGTGTGCCCTGCCTTCGGGAGAGTTAAAAAGAATATGGAGTCTTTCTGTTTCTACATTTTTTTTCCTGTTAAAAATTTTACTTAATTGATATAAAATTAAGTTGTCATAAAAAATTTAGAATTTAGAGAGCAAAATGTGGACGTGCCCCTCTCCAGAAGTCACAAAACCTGGAACATTGATTCATAGGCTTCTCAACTTTTCTCATGCACTTACAAAGCCTTGCTTAATATTTTAGAATATGGATTTTTCACGATGTAGCCAAGCCCCTGTTGCTGGACGTTCAGGTTGCCTGCAGCAACGCTGTGGTGAACATCTCTGTGCGACCTGTACTGCTGCTTTCCTGTGTGTTCTCTTCTCACTGTCCTGGAGTTGTCCTGCCCTCCAAGGAGGAATTTGAGATGATCAGTTATTCTTTCCATAATAAGTCAGGGACTATTCTGTGCTCTATATTCACATAGGTCACTTTTTTCTCTATTGTTTTGCGAACAGCTTTATTAAGATATAATTTACCTATCATATAATTCACCCATTTAAAGAGTTCAATTCAGAGATTTTTAGTATATTCACTGAGTTGTGCAATCTTTACCACAATCAATTTTAGAATATTTCATCACCTCAAAAAGGAATGTCATACCCTTTAGCTGTCCCTTCCCAATCCACATTATTAGCCCTGAGCAACCATTAATCTATTTTATGTCTCTATGAAATACTTGTTCCGGACATTTCATATCAATGGAATCATATGATATGTGGTCTGTTGTCTCTGACTTCTTTCACTGGACATGTTTTTAAGGGTCATCTATGTGGTAGCATCTATCAGTCTTTCATTCCTTGTTATGGACAAATAAGACTCCACTGTACGGAATGCCACATTTTGTTCATTCGTTCATGATGGACACTTGGGTTGTTCCCACCTTTTGGCTATTGTGAATAATGCTGCAATGAACATTCGTGTGTGAGATTTTGTGTGGAGGTACATTTTCCCTCCTTTGGGGGTATATACCTAGGAGTGGAATCATTGGGCCAAATGGTAACCTTCTCTTTAATTTTGAGGAAATCCCAGACTTTTCTGAAGTGGCTACACAATTTTATATTCTCACCAGCACTTGTACGAGGGTTCTGATGTCTCCACATCTTGTCAGCTATGGGGGTCGTGGGCCCATGAAGTCCCCCGATTCACTGTGGATGGAAGAGTTGTTCCAGACACTGTTTGCTTGTCAAGGAAAGGGGAAGGCAATTCCTTATAGCAGGGGATGTCCTGAGCCCCTGTGCTCAGTGGCTTTTATTGAGAGGGTCACAAGTAGGGGATAGGTAGCAGGAATGTATAGGTAATCTAATTACATCAGTAATTTAAGTTTACAGAGAAGAGGTGATGTTTAAAGAAGACAATGGCAGGAACACACTGAATTGCTTGGGTCTGAGATGAGCAAACATTATGGCGCCAGATGGGATTTGGGTCAAGGTCCAGGAATTTTGTAAATTTCTTTCCCAGCCTTGACCTGGTTATCTGGTATAAGATTAACGGAGCTTGAGGGAAAAACAAAGCCTGCTTCAAGGAGTCTGATTTACTTCTAGGCCTGATTTCCCCCTGGGGCCCTTGGAGTTATTATTGTGTCCTGCCTATCAACTGCATTACTAGTGTTCCAGCCAAGTCTTACGGTTCCTCTCCCAGACCCCAGTTTGCGTGGGACTATAGTCCTTGATACCACTCAAAGCGGCCCCCTACAATCAACACTTGCAATTTTACCTGATTTTTTTATTATAGCCACTCTGGTTTGTATGAAGTGGAATGTCTCTGTGGTTTTTATCTGCATTTCCCTAATGACTAATGAATTGAGCATCTTTTCATGTGTTTATTGGCCATTTGTATATCTTCTTTGAATAAATGTCTCTTTGGATCCTCTTTTCATTTTTAATTGGATTATATGTCTTTTTTTATTGAGTTATGAGTTCTTTTTGTATTCTAGATACAGATATCTTATCTGATATAAGATTTACAACTATTTTTCCCTATTCTCTGGATTGTCTTTTCACTTTCTTGATAGTGTTCTTGGAAGCACAAAAGTTTAAATTCTGATAGAGTCCAGTTTATTTTTCTTATTATTGTTATTTCTTTTGGGATCATATCTCAGGATCCATTGCCAAATCTAAGGTCATGGAGATTTGTATTTCTGTTTTTTTGCTAAGAGTTTTATAGTTTTGGCTCTTATGTTTGGTCTTTTATCCATTTTAAGTCAGCTTTTATATATGGTGTAAGATAGGGGTTCAAGTTCTTTTTTTTTCTGCATGTGGCTATCCAGTTGTCTGAGCACCATTTCTGGAAAAATTATATTCTTTTCCCTTATCAAAAACCAATTAATTGTAAATGTATGGGTTTTCTTAAAACTCAGCTATTTTCCATTGATCTATATATGTCTATTCTTATGTTACTACCTCACTGTCTTGATTACTATTGTTTTCCAGCAAATTTTGGAACTGAGATGTGTGAGTCCTCCAACTTTGTTCTTTTTTGAAAAAAATATTATTTTATTTATTTATCTTTAGAGAGAGAGGATGGGAGGGAGAAAGACATGGAGAGAAATATCAATGTGTGAGAGATACATTGATCAGTTGCCTCTAGTTGCCTCTCACACACTCTCAACTGGGGACCCAGACCGCAACCCAGGCATATGCCCTAACTGGGAATCAAACCAGCAGCCTTTCAGTTTGCAGGCCGACACTTAATCCACTGAGCCACACCAACCAGGACCAACTTTGTTCTTTTCTTTTTTTTTTTTCAATATTTCTTTGGCTATTCTGGGTCCCTTTCAATTCCATATGAACTTTAGGATTAGCTTGTCACTTTCTGCAAAGAAGCCAAATAGGATTCTGATACAGATGTTGAAACTGTAGAGCAATTTGGGGAGTATTGCCATGGATTTCCTGCTCCATTAACATGGGATGTTTTGCCATTAATTTATATCTTCTTTAATTATTTAAGGAATATTTATAGCTTTAAGAATACAAGATTTAGATCTGGCCAGGTAACTCGGTTGGTTGGAGCGTCGTCCCTATATAGACACCAAGGGTTGTAGGTTTGATCCCTGGTCAGGGCACGTACAGGAAGCAGTCAGTGAATGCATAAATAGGTGGGACAACAAAATGATGTTTCTCTCTCTCCCTCCCTGCCCACTTCCTTTCTCTCTAAAATCAGTAAATTAAAAAAAGGATATAATATTTACATTTCAGTTGCTAAATCTATTCTTAAGTATGTTATTTTTTGCTGTTATTGCACATGGAATTGTTTTCTTAATTTTATTTTTGGATAATAGACCTGTGTATTTTTAATGCTCAGGTTTTATCCTTGCTTTCATTATTTCCTAAACACTAAGCACCCATTATATCTCTGGGATTGTTCTAGTATCTGGGGATTCAGGGGTAAACAATAATGACAGTGGAATGTGAGTTCTTGAGGCAGAGACTGGTCTCCTGGTTCCTTGCAGTGAACTTACCAGTCTGACCTCATGCCTGTGACTTTTTTTCAGGGTTTCTTAGAGGATACCAGCCTCTTTTATGGACATTACACCATTGATGGGGTGAAGTTTCAGAATTTCACCTATGATCTGCCTCTGGCTTATTTGTTAGGCACAATTGCCTACCTGACCCTGAGCCTTCTTTGGATAGTGAAAAGGTAAATTTTCTTATCATTGTGTTCTCTTTTAATTATTTTGCTGGCTGGAGTTTATTGGAGGCCATGAACTCTTTGAGCCAATGCCCAAAGGATGAGCAGAGTCCAGGGGTGGGCTTTGTGAGGGAAAGACTTGTGAGTGTTTTGGAGACTGTGGAAACCTGGAGGCAGTGGAGGCAGGATTTTGGAGCTGCAGGAGCAATCCAGAGATCTTTACTCAACCATTATTGTGCACATTTGCCAATGCCATTCCCCCAAACTTACCTTTGATTTGGTCTGTATATTAACCAAACCTCTCTTGGATTTTGAATGGCAGAAACCCAGCTCTGACTCAATGGGGCAAAGGGGAATTGAGTGTCTCAGAGAAGCAAGGGAGGAACCTCTAATTATAGGAAGTATAAGGATAAAGGTATGGCTTTGTAATATCCAAAAACAAGAGCTCCTTCATCTCTGATTCTCCTGGTGGCGGCTTCCTCATGTGAACTTTCTGGGTCATGTGTTCAGAAATCCTTTGAAGAGATTGGTTGGCTCTATTTCATTTAGGTACCCAACTCTGACCCTTCAGCCGTGGCCAGTTGTTTAGGGTCACATGAGAACACGGCATTTCCCCAGTAGCCAAATGGTTTAGTAGGAGTGTCAATTCCCAAGAAAAGCGAAGGATATTAATTATTTTAATTACTAACAAACAACTTCCCCCAAAGGTACAATGACCCAAATACAAGAAAAGTTGTATATCTTTCTTACATAAAGTTCCAAGTGGGGCACAGATTAGTGTGGTAGACACCTTCTCAGTCATTGTGGGACTCAAGTGGGCTGAATTCTGTCATCTTCACTATGAGCTTTGAAGTTCCTCTTGAGAGCTGGGAGAGCGACCATGGAGGAGTATCCCATGGATGGTGTTTCCCAGCTAGGCCTGAAGTGATACACATCACTCACATTCCATTGTCTACAGCTTAGTCACATGACCACAGCCAACTGCAAGGGAGGCTGGGAAATGTTATCCCTGGCTGGCAGCCACTTCCCAGCACTAACACTCTGCTATGGAAGGGGAACCATAAATACTTGATGAACAGCTTTCTGTCTCTGCTTCAAGGAAGTTGCTTGGCAGATAGGGTCATGATGGGCACCGCTCTTACCCACTTCATTGTCATGTGAGAGCATGAACAGTGCTATAAGCCAGGGGGCTGTGATGCTCCCTATCACAGGAATAGAAGAGACCAAGATGTTGGGGCCTGAATTGGCCCTCCATGGGACCAGGGTTCACCACCACGGGGAAAGCCCCAGAGCCCAGCTGAGCACTCATATTCTGAGTCAGAAGCTATGACATGAAAGTTACCTGGTGTGTGTCCATTCCCCACCCACATGGGCAGTGTATAGACAGGAAGGAGCGGTAACTCATTCTGAGGGGCAGAGAGATGCTTGGTAAAGAAAAGTTGGTTGATTGGGGGTTCTGGCTTTGCTGCTCTGTAATGACAGACAATTTGCAGGAGCACTCTTTAAGACAAAAAATATGAAATATCTTTTTTAAATTATAAAATATAAAAACAGCAGGACCAGATGAACACATTGCTAGACATGCTCCCAGCGCCTTGGAAGGGGTCCTGGAGAAGAAAGAAGCTTTCTTAGCCAAGCAGTAACTTCATCTCCAGATCTTGCTCAAGCTCCTCACTTCTGGGCCTTGATTGCTCCCTGGAGAAGGCTGGAGGGAGGACTGGGTGTGGTGTGATGGGGAAAGGTCCGCCCTGGAGGAGGAGGTGCTAGAGTGGCAAAGAGCATGGACTTTGAGGACCCGGGACCGAGGTTTGAGAGTCACTTCACCTCTTTAAACTCATTTTTTTCACCTATGAAATGTACATACTTGGTTGTTGAAAGGATTCGCTGAAACAAGACAGGTAAGGAACTAGGCACTGGGCCTGACACCTGGAAAGCAATCTTAAATCATCATCATCAAATTGGCCCCAATTCTGCTACTAACTCTCTAATTCTAGGGAAATAATTTTCTCTTTTCTGGACCTTAGCTTTCTCACCTGTTAAATGTAGGTTTGGTCTAAATCATAAGTTTTCACGTGGGGCAGGACCATATGGGAGCTATAAAATAACACATTCCTGGACCCCACATGAGACCTACTGATTGTAAATCCCAGTGAGTCGGCATTTTGAAAAAGTACCCAGATGGCTCTGACATAAATTCTTTGCTGGGAACTTTTGGCAGAGTGACTCATCTCTATAATACCTCCCACTTTTTTTGTCTGCACAACTCACTGGCAAATCCAAAAGACACCCCATTTCATCTACACTGTGTGGCATTTGACGTATTCATATCGTCAAGTACCAGAATGCTTTTTTTCCCCCCATAGAAGTAATTGAATGAATAACAATTACAAAGTGTGCAAGAATTGCATCTGAAAGGTGCATACTAAATATAGGGTTAAAAAGTCATTTATTCATTCATTTATCCATCGATTGGATAGTGGCCATGTTATGGTCCACAGATTCTGGATATAAAGGCTGCCAGTGTACTGCCCTTAAGGAATTTAAATTTTAGCCAGGGTCAGGGGCTATAAGCAGTAAACAGATAAGTAAAATAATTGCAGATTAAGTTCACTGCTGTGAAGGAAATGAAAAAGACAAACTTGAAGTGAGGGTTACAACTTTAGAGGGGGCGTTAGGGAACCCATGAAGGGGTTATATGAGCTGAAACCAGAAAGATGGGAATGAGGCAGCCATAGCAAGGGGCAGGGGAAGAACTGTCCCAGGAGACAGTATCAGGAACTGCAAGTACAAAGGCCCTGAGGCAGGAGCAGAAGTTTGTGTGTTTCTGAAAAGGAAAAAAAAGCCAGTGTAGTATCAGCAGAGTGGCCGTATGGGAAGAAAGCTGGTGTTATGTAGGATCATGTAGAACCTCTAGGCTGTGTTAAAGAGTTTGGGTTTTATTCCAGTTGTGAGGAGAGCCATTAGATGGATGAAAGGAAATAATTTTCAACTGTGAGATCCTGATTAGCTGCCACATATATTTGGAATTGTCCAAAACTTGACCATGTCAAAATGGGTGGGAAAGGCAGCCATGTGTAACTTGTTTTATTCCAGACAAAGCCAGGGGGCCTGTATTTTGTTGTTCTTATAAGAAGCATAATTATTTTGGGGGGTCAGATCGGTGGAAGGGTTCAAAATCAACCTGATCCAAAGTGAAGAGCACTTCCAGAGTTACTGCAACAAGATCTTTGCTGGCTGGGACTTCTGCATCACCAACAGCAGCATGGCGAACCTGAAGCACAGCAGCCTGCGGTATGAGCTCCGAGTGAGTGCTGCTGGGTTTTCTCTTGGTGGCTTCCTTGCCAGCAAGGTTGTCCCAAGGGAGGCGGGTGTGCAGCTTGCAGAGAAGCTAGGGGTGGGGGGCCAGGCTGTGTCCAGTGCTTAGCAAGGTTACCTTTTGTAGTTTTCAAGATCTTTTCTCAGAGAACAGCTTCCTGGGGTTGATTGCCTTAAACCCAAGCATGGATCTGGTGAACTTGGGCTGGGAAGTCAAAAGGGGATATAACAGTGAGTGGGAGGAGATAGTGTCTACCCCTCGCCCCTGCCACCTTTATTCCTCCACTTTGTGAGAACCCGTCATAAACATCGTTTACACGTGGAGAAATAGGACTAAGGGTGGGAAGCTATGATGATAAAGTGGTGTGGTGTGACTATGAAAAAATAGAAGAGAATTTATAAATTACTAAGGAGAGAAGGAGGAATAAATAGTGTCATGATCAAACCTACCCCCCAAAAAGGAAGAGAGGACAATTACATCAAAGATTAATAAAATAAGATGGAAGAAGTCAAATAAAATGTATTATTTGTTACACTTAATATGAACAGATTGAATCCTCCTATTAAAAGCAGAGATGAGATTGAGTTAAAAAAAAGACCACCCACTTTATATACTGTTTCAAGAAATAACACATGTAACATATACCGTATTTTGCCATATATAATGCACACCTATGTTTTTAGCCCAAAATTTCAGGAAAAAAAATCTTTCGTTTTAATTTTTTTTAAATTTTTTAATTCGATTATTTATTTATATCTAGAAACAAAACCAGTTATCTATTCCAGGGTATTATTTTGCATATGAATATCGTTATTGCTTTCTAGAGTTACACTTTTAATGCATAAGCATAAATAAAATAATTAAAAACACTTATATAGATGCAGAATTAGTACTACCCATGTATAATGCTCACTCTTATTTTCCCCTCAAAAATTTGGGTGAAAAAGTGTGCATTATACATGGTAAAATACGGTAATGTCACAAATTTATTTACCACAAATAGGTAAATAATTCTGTTTTCACATTTATCGCAAAGTCTAATTGCAATCTTAAATAGGAGGTTCTGCCCTGACTTTGGCCTTTAGTAGACATGAAAACTAGTTGGGCTTCCCTTCACCCCCTTGCTCACAAATGAATTTTCTTTGTTCCTCAGGCAGATCTGGAAGAAGAAAGAATACGACAGAAAATAGCAGAAAGGACCTCTGAAGAAACAATAAGGATTTACTCTTTGAGGCTGTTTTTGAACTGTATTGTTCTGGCCGTTTTAGCAGCATGCTTTTATGCAATCTATAGAGCAACTATATTCTCACAAGAACACATGAAAAAAGTAAGGGTTCCGTCCAAGTCATTTTAACTCTTACCCTGGTTGGGCATTATGCTAATGGCCTTCTAAACCTCTGAGGCAGATACCAGCATCATTTCTGTTTTACATATGGGGATATAAATTTGGCTGACATGACAGAACCAGAAATCAGAGGCAATCAATTTCCACTTTTGATAGAAATAAAAAGCATCCAAGATAGATGCTATTTGGGGTGCCCACTGTCCCCGGAATTCACAATATTGAAATGTAGCTGGATGACCTGATTTAACCCCCAGCTCCTCTACTTACTACTAGGGGCCTCAATTTACCTAAAATAGCAGTGGTTTTAAAAACTCAAGTTGGTCTAGTGGCTCTGCTTCATGAAGTCAATCATCAGGGGCCCAGATTTCTTCCATTCTGTGGCTCTGCCATGCTTAGGGTGTGGCCCTCTTCTCTATGGTACTTGAAAGCTCACCATATAGCCAATGCAAAGGAGAGGGGGAGCACACACCCCTTCCCTTCAAGGTCACCACCTGGAAGTTGCACTTAAAAGTTCTACTTACATCTGTTTGGCGAGACTTTAGTCAGATGGCTGTACCTAGTTACAAAGGAGGCTGGGAAATTTAGCTTTATCCTGGATAGCCATATGCATGTCTGTTATTAAAGAAAGAGAGAATGGCTATTCTAAGTCATTATTACAGCCTTGAAAAATACATTGCCCAGTGACACAGAAACATGGATTTTTTTTATACCTCACCTAAGTAAATCCAGTAGAGCTCATTTTTCTTCTAGTATGGTGCTAGATCATGTTTCCTCCATTTGAACACCCAGGGAAAGAGCCGGTTTATGTTTAAGGTCCTTGGAAATGACATGTATGTTCTGTTTTGTTTGTTTGCTAATAAACATGTATAGTTGAGGGTTTTTTCCAGTTTTATTGAAATATAATTAACATATAGCACTGTGTAAGTTGAAAGTATACAGCCTAATATGTGTAGTTGAGTTCTTTTAAGATGAACTTACTTGTGATGCAATTTTCCTTATTATACTTCTGACCAGTTTTGTTGTCTTCATAGGAAATTGACAAGATGGTTTTTGGAGAGAACCTCTTGATATTGTACCTGCCTTCTATTGTGATCACACTGGCCAATTTTATCACCCCAGTGATCTTTGCCAAAATTATCCACTATGAGGATTATTCCCCAGGCTTTGAGATCCGGCTGACAATCCTTAGGTAATGTCTAGACATGCCAAGCAGATCACTGCTTGCACACTGTCTTGCCTATTGTAGACATTGCTAATCACTTGTGACGCATTTCCCTGCTAAGCCAAGAATCTTCTTCAACATTCAGAAAGAATCAACATTCAACATGAATGAATCAGAGTTTGCACAGGCCGTGTAATCTCTTTGATTTAAGAGCGTAATCATTAGTATTATATTTTTGGTTCATGTATTAGCACATCGACATCTGAGGGTGAAGGGTAGGGACTTAGGAGGAGGTGTTCCTTTGAAGATGTTAAAAATGACAAGGGAAGTGAGGAAGCAAGAGAGAAGGAAAGGCAGCTGATAAGGGGTACGTTATTGGGCAAGCTGCTTCTGCTGACAACTCGGGCTCAGTGGTACTGGGTAACTCTGGGAGTTTGTGGGACAGATGCCTTAGCTCTTTCCCATGAGATCACATATTTTGCCTCTACTGCCTAAGGGCGAGTGGCTCCCAGAGACATTAATTCCCCACACTTCCACCCCTCACTACCTGCATGCGTGGGCCTTGGGTGGAGAGTGACAAGTCCTTGCAGGAGGAACCTGAGTCACTTGTTGGAACAGTGAGCGCTGAGAAAATGTGGCCAGGTCACCCACAGTGTGTGCTACAATAGACGTTTATAAGTTGTAATATCGTTTCTCATTTTATATAAATATTCAGTTCCATTTCAAAAAATGACAGGTATAAAGCAGGATGCAGGGAGTTAACACAAATGAGTTAAAGAACACCAGGCAGGGACTGTGTGAAATGAGCATTTTTGCTGCTTCTCAAGTGCCTGAGATTACATCATTTTTTATTTTATTTTTTTAAAAAAGATTTTATTTATTTTTAGAGAGAGAGGAAGGGAGGGAGAAAAAGAGGGAAAGAAACATCAATGTAATATGTGGTTACCTCTCACATGCCCCCTACTGGGCACCTGCCACCCCCCCACCCCCCACCCCCCCACCCCCCCCACCCCCCACCCCCCACCCCCCCCACCCCCCCACCCCCCCACCCCCCGCATGTACCCTGACTGGGAATTGAACTGGCAACCCTGTGGTTTGCAGGCGGGGGGGACTCAATCCACTGAGCTACACCAGCCAGGGCAAAAGCATCTCTTTAAAAAAAATAGCACTCTCGGCCCTCCTGTCTTGGATCCAACTTCCCCAGGCAGCACTTATCTGCACGGTTCATGCGGCTCATGCCAACACCCACACGTTTTCTTTTAAAAATAGATTCCTGTCTGTATGAGACTCTGCAGTGTGCTTTGTTCACTTCTCAATATATCGGACATCTCTCAAAACTGATACTTATAAGATTCAATTCTTTTCAGAAATGTAATGTTCTGTAAAATGTAATGTTCTGTAATGTTCTGTAAAGTAGTTATAATATAGATCCTGGAATTCCCAGCTTTCTTATCTTTTTTTCTTTCCTGCCATTTAAGAGAATGAGGTACCATAAAGGCAAAAATTTGCTGTTTTTAACTGTACAACTAACTCAGTGGCATTAAGTATGTTCCCAATGTTGAGCCACCATCACCACCGCCCATTTCCAGAACGTGCTCATCATCCCAAACAGAAACTCTACCCATTTGTGAGTTCGCTTTTAAGAAAGGCAGCTTCTCTGCCCCCAGCCTTAGTTCCAAGGGCCCAGCCTGCCGCAGGGCCTCCTCTCCTCTTCCTCGCTCCTCCCTGTCTTCCTGCAGGTGTGTCTTCATGCGGCTGGCCACCATCTGTGTGCTGGTGTTCACCCTCGGTTCCAAGATTACATCCTGTGATAACTACTCGTGTGACCTCTGTGGCTACAACCAGAAACTCTACCCGGTGAGGCTGGGGGAATGGGAGCATCCTGTTGAGCGGGTCATTTTGGAGTAATGGGCTCAAGGTGGAGAGAACAGCCTTGAAGCCATGAGTTTATATCTCAGTTGATCTGCTTTCTTACTGTGTAGCAGAGTCTGGCATGCCAGACACTTGTAAAAGCTTGAAAACGAAAATTTGTGCTGGAGCTCAGAGGAGCATTGGCTGATGGCCTCCGGAGGCAGCAGGATCAGGACACTGGATGGACACTGCGGGGAGCCTGAGAACCCGGCTTTCTCTGCCCTGAGTTGGGTCTCATTGCCTCTCCGTGTCTTTGGTTTCAGTGCTGGGAGACCCAAGTTGGGCAGGAAATGTACAAGCTGATGATATTTGACCTCATCATTATCTTGGCTGTGACACTCTTTGTGGATTTTCCTAGAAAGTAAGTTCGAGGGGTACCCCCCCTTTCCTCCCCTACTCCTCCCACCCCTGCCCCAACTGGAGGATCCTCTCACAGCTGCTCTCCAAAAAGCTCTGGCTGATTCCACAGTCCTGGGAACCACTGACAACCATCTGGTGACCTTCAAACAGCTCCAGGCCATCAACCCCATAGGTGCCCCCAAAAGGAAGTGTGAGGAGTGGAAATGGTACTGCTTTCCATGAGGTTTCCATGGAGATGACTTCCTGCCATTAGCACAGGCCTCAGTGGATACCACATTTCCTGATCTGGGGTCAAGCTGCAGCACTACCGCTTGATAGTCACGTGATCTTGGACAGCTAATTTAAGGTCTGTGTTTACTTTTCCACCTGTGAAATGGGGACAGTAACAGTACCCACATCACAGCACCATTGTGAGGATTAAATGAGAAAACGCAAATACAAAGAACAAAGTACAAAGAACAAAGTACAAAGAACACTCCATGCTTCAAAACTCAGCAAAACATTAACTGTCACTCTTATCATTATTATTACTATGCTGTCATTTTAAAAATTATTCTCAGCATTTCCTTGAGCCTTAAGTGAAACACTGTTCACTTAATGACTTTTTTACCCAGATGTACACGTTCTGTAAGCATGTCAGAAGTCCAGTGTGCCCTTAAAAATAAACATTAAAAAAGAAACTTCCCTTTAAAAATTATATAAATATGACATGAATAAATGCATAGTGAAAATTTTAAAATATTTAGAATGTAAATAAATACAGACGTCTAGTGAATAGTGAGAGTTCTTGTTTGTTACCTTTCCCCTTTACTCCTCAATCCCACCCCAGGCCCCAGAGATGGCCATGATTGGTACTTTGGAAAGATCCCCCAGTCCTTAAAAACAGAAGCACTCATTTGCATGAATACATATGTAGATAGACAGACAATCTTACTAGCAGTGTGCATTTCTGCTCCTTAAATGGGATCACGGTGCATCTATATTGGTCTGCAGCTTGCTTTTTATCTCCCATACAAACAAAATATCATGAACTTTCGATGGGAGGACACTTGAATTTCCTCATTTAAGGACTGTATAATATTCCACTGTATCCGTGGCTTATAATTTGTTGAGCCAGCCCCTATTTATGAGCGTTTAGGTTGCTTCCAGTATTTTTGCTAATACATGAAGATGCTATAGTGAAGAATAGTGTGTGTTTATCTCAGGCCCTTGGTCCTAGGGAGTCTGTAGGAAGCTTGTGGGATTCCAGCATGCTGGGTGGTGGGTCCTCCTAAACCATTTCCTGTGTGGATGTACATGACTTCATGGGCCTGAGTGGCAAGCCAGAGCACACATAAAGTGCATGTTGTTTATTGTCACCTCAACCCGGTGAACTAAATTGTGTTATAATCCCCCCATATTCCAGGTGAGAAAAATAAACCCCATCTAAATTTATTTGGCTGGTCAGTTGTAGATCTGAGACTCAGACCCTAGTCTTAAGGATTTCAGAATTCACTATCTTTTGAATCTTCCAGACTTGTGACTAACCAGTTTCCATGAGAGATCTGTGTGGTAAGAGCCTTGATTTTGTGGACATGGTTCTGTGGCCTTGGCAGACACTGGTGGTCCAAGTGAGAAATTGTCCCATTTGTTTCCAGGCTCCTGGTGACCTACTGTTCCTCTTGGAAGCTGATACAGTGCTGGGGGCAGCAGGAATTTGCCATTCCTGATAATGTTCTGGGAATCGTTTATGGGCAAACCATTTGCTGGATCGGAGCCTTTTTCTCACCCCTTCTCCCTGCCATTGCAACCTTGAAATTCATCATCATCTTTTATGTGAAAGAGGTAAGGAGAGGCGGGGATGGTGGGCTGATGCCCTGCACCACTCTTGACCTTGTACGGTGTTCAGCGTGCATGTTTGGAGCTCACCCGCATTCTGTCAGGTATATCAAAATTACACCCCTTATCTGATATATAGTTTTATTCTGGAAAAAAGATTTTCTCATCTTTATAATTTTGAGTTTTGGTAAGCATTGTTTTGCTCCCGTGATTTAAATGTCGTTTTTATATGTAACTGTTGAGTCGAGTTGCAGTTGATCGATCAGTTGACAGTGGTACATTTTGGTAATGTTTAACAAATGTTTATTAATTTAAATTTTGTAATTTTTTGTTTGGATTTTGGAGCCAGTGCATTTATTTCCAAGTTTCAATTGTCTGTGTAGGTCCTTGAACAGCTCCCAGGCCCCAGGCATTGTGTCTGAACTAAGGGCTCAGTGGGTGAAGTGGCCCTGCAGATGACTAATGCATCTGGGCTTATTAACCAAATTTCTTTTTTCTTTATTATAAGAGGCAGTATATCCTTAATATTAAACATTTAAACAATACAGATGTGTATACAATAACTCTCATTCCTTCTTCCAGAGGTACCCTCTGCTAACAAGCCCAACTTTATTGATTATCTCTTATGCTAAGGCCCGAGGATTCAGAAATGGAAATAATAATAGTATTAATAATAATGACAATAATAATAGCAAATGATAATAATACCATGTGCCCCCACTCTGCTGAACGCTGAGGAATGTGAAGTTCAGAGAGGTTAAATAATGGGTCCAAGGTCACATAGCTTATACGTGACTCCTGGGATTTGAATCCAGGTTTATCTCGTTCAAGAGCCACTTAACCTGATAAGCAGGGCCTTGCATTGGACCAAACTTTCATCCTGGATGTTTTGGCCTTTGAAGAATGTCCTGATGCTTTATTTGGAAACGTCAATTGGCTGAAGGCACCAAAGGAGAAATGGAGAAGAAAAAGCTCGTGGGAACTTTTTCCCTTTCCAGAAAATATTGGTTGGCCAGTGGTTTCCCAGTGTGCAGCACAGTAAAAATAGTGTGGGAATAATGGGCTGGGTGCTGGGCCCCGGGCCAAGTTCTGACACCCATTCCAGTCCTGACTGACCGGCTGCCCCAGACAGGACACCAAATGTCCTTAGTCCTCAGTGCCCTCTGCTCACAAGATGTTCTGGCTACTACTAAAGTCAGAAGAGCTTGATGTCTACTCCCAGTAATATAGCATTTAAAAATATTAAGGAGAAATATTATGCCTATTACTATACCTCTCTCCCCCTCCCCACTTGAAATTTCCTTCAAGTCGCTTTTCCCTCAATGGAAATATTTATTCTTAAATATAGGAAAAATAAATATGCTTATAAAACTTCAAGTAAAATATCTCTTACTCTTATAGATTATTGTGGATTCATTTAACATATATTTAAACCCCTATAAAGAATACTTTTTAAATATTATATTTTATTGTTATAATATTACACTTGTCTCCACTTTTCCCATCTTTGCCCGCCTCTACCCAGCCCCCATCCCCAGGCCATCCCCACACCGTTGTCCGAGTCCCTGGGTCATGCATGCATGTTCTTTGGCTAATCCCTTCACCTTTCATACAGTTCCCCCTCACTCCTCCCTTTCGACAGCTGTCAGTCTGTTCCATGATTCTATGCCTCTGTTTCTCTTTTGTTCTTTAGTTTATTTTGTTCATTAGATTCCACATATAAGTGAGATCATATGGTATTTATTTGTCTTTTTCTGACTGGCTTATTTCATTTAGCATAATAATCTCCAGGTCCATCCATGCTGTCCCAAAAGGTAAAAGTTCCCCTTTTTTACTGCTGCATAGTATTCCATTGTGTAATTCTACCACAGCTGTTTTATCCATTCCTCTACTGATGGGCACTTAGACTGTTTCCAGAACTTAGCTACTGTAAATAACACTGCTATGAACATAGGGATATATATATTCTTTTGAATTGGTGTTTTGGGATTCTTAGAATATATTCCCAGAAGTGGAATCTCTGGGTCAAAAGGCAGTTCCATTTTTAGCTTTTTGAGGAAATTCCAAACTGTTTTCCACAGTGGCTGCACCAGTCTGCATTCCCACCAACAGTGCACCAGGGTTCCCTTTTCTCCACATCCTCACCGGCACTTATTGTTTGTTGATTTATTGATGGTAGCCATTCCGGTAGGTGTGAGGTGATATATCATTGTGGTTTTAATTTGCATCTCTCTGATGATGAGTGATGTTGAGCATTTTTTTCTAATGTCTCTGTGCCACCTGTATGTACTCTAAAGAATACTTTTTAAAAAAACTTAAATGAGATCATACAGGACAGAATGCTGATGTCTTTCATTTCACAGCGCTACATAAGATGTAAATCTTGCTTTCTTGTCTTTTCTAGGGGCTACATGGTTTTCTATTGTATGGGTGGTGTGATTTAACCTTTAAGATCTGCTTCTCCATAGCTATTTTTGTTGCCTCCAGTTCAGTTATTCCCTGTTATTGACACCAGTAGCAGTCAACATCTGCATACATGTATTTTGGCCCAATGTTGGGGTCTGGATTAAATATTTTTCACTTTGATCTATTTGCTAACTGCCTCTAGAAAGCTTAGACCAATTTACATTCCTACTATAATGCTTCAATGTGCTGTGCTCATTTATCCTCAAGGAAGCTGTACTCTTAACTTTTCCTTTCTTTCTCTCCCCTTAGATCAGTCTTCTTTATACCTGCAGACCCTCCCCAAGGCAGTTCAGAGCATCCAATTCTAATTTCTTCTTCTTGTTGGTGTTGTTAATTGGCCTGTGTTTGGCAATAATACCATTGACAATCAGCGTGGCACAGTAAGTACCACTTTGTTTTCTAGAACATTTCAGTGCTTCCTGACATGGGCCTCTTTTATGTTAAAGGGTCCAGTGCATTTTCTACGGGTTTTCCTCACAGTGCACTACCCTTGGTTGTCCGGTCAGTAAGTTGCCCCTAAGTTAGCCAGGCCCACCCTGTTTGGGAAGCTCCCTCTGGTTGCTGGAATGTCACGGTCAACTTTCAGAGCTTGGGCTTGCTGGGTGGCCATTATTTTTAAGAGTGCCAGTTGGGTCTGTCCCATCCAGCTCCCTTTTCCTGAGACTTCTCTTCTAGTCCCATTATGGATTGTTTCTGATTATGAAGATAATACACAGTCATTGTAGAAAACTTGGGAGTATAGGGAAAAAAATAAAGAAGCAGGAAGTCACCCATGTTCCTGACAACTTTCATTAAGGGTTTGCCCTTAGTGAACATTTATTTAGCACCTTCTCTGAGCCAAGCAGTGCGCTAGCTAGGGATATAAAGACACTTAATATACGGCATAGAAATGTAGGGTCTGGTGTGGAATTCGGAAAGAGCAGAAGTGCTCAGGGCTAAGGGTCCGAAGTTGGGGTTTCAATCCCCAGTGGTGCCACTCCCTAGGCGTATTATCACTTATACCAGAGGCCAGCAAACCTTTTCTGTAAAGGGAAAGAGAGAAATAATTTAGGCTTTGTGGGCCGTATGGTGTCTATAAGCAGCTGTAGACAATATATAAACTAGTGAACATGTCTGTGTTCCAATAAAACTTTATTTATAAAAAACAGGAGGTGGGCCAGATTTGGCTCGTGGACTGTAGTCTGATGACTTACACTGCCATGGAATTTCTCTTCTTTATCTTTAAATTAAAATCCTTAAATTTTGAATCTGTTTCTCACATTTTATTTTTTAACTAACTTGACTATATATTTTTATAGTACTATATATTATATATAAAAATTCAAATAGTACAGAAGAGTGTAAATTAAAGAGAAAAAAATACTCTTTATCTTCACTTCTTAGTCCCACTCTCTGCAAAGGTAACCACTGTTAGCATTTTATGAATACTGCTGGAAATTCATTATGAACAATGTACTTATTTTTAAAAATACATATTGAATAACTATATAATCCTGTTTGGGCTTATTTTTTTTCTTTATTTTATATTGTGCCATTATCCATGCTAATGCATGTAAAACTCTTATTCTTTTGAAATATCTTTTAGCTTTGATTTTTAAAATATAATAAATATATTCACATGACACAAAATCCATAAAGTATAAAAGAATATATTGTGGAAATTCATTTTCCAATCCTATTTCCCAACTATGTACTTAGTTTCTCTCGAGGAGACAGCCATTTCTATGTGTGTCTCTGTCTCAGTGGATCTTTAGTATTCTGTTGTATGAACGAATCATAAATTGTTCACCCATTTCTTTAAACAACACTTAGATTGTTTTCAGGAATTTATTTTTATCTGTAAAAATAGGGTTTCAGTGGGAAACCTTCTACATAGATCTTTGTAATATGAATGTAGGCAATTCTTTGTAGGGCTCAAGTTAATTTTTTCCATCATAATTTTATTTTTTCTCTACTTTGTACTTTGAAAAATTTCAAATCTATGGAAGAGTTGGAGAAATAGCCACAGTGAAAACTCAAATACCCTTCAACTGTCCCATTTTGCTACATTTGATTAACCCTTTGAAACTGAGTTGTAGGCATCATGACATTCATCCCTAAATATCTGAGCATGCAGCTCCTAAAAGTAAGGACACAGTAACACTGTCATACCTAAGAAAATTAATGCTAACATCATATTCCTGCCATTTTCAAATTTCTTCAATTGTCCCCAAATAGTCTTTCATAGCTTTATTTTAAAATGAAAATCTTTCAAGTTTTACCCATTGCTCTTGGTTATGTGTTTTTAGTCTCTTTTAATCTTTGATGTTTTGAAGAGTCCAGGCCAGTTTCCTCATTTCTAAATAAGAGACTGGAAAATAGAATCCCCCCATTCTGGATTTGTCCAGTTATTTTCTCATGGTGTCATTTAACTTTGTTCAGTCTGAAATTCCTGTAAATTGGAAGTCACGTCTAGAGATTTGATGAAATTTCAGGGTAAGTGTTTATGACCATAATATTCCAGAAGGCCACGAGGTCAGGCAGTTTCTCACAGGTTACTGTTAACAAAGCCTTCTGGGCATGTAGAGGAGGAATGCTCAGTCTTGAAGCACATCTCACCTGAGCTCCTTGTCCTGTGTATCCTGGCAGCATCCCTTCCTCAAAAGCTTGTGGGCCATTCACCAACTTCAACACCAGCTGGGAGGTGGTTCCCAAGACAGTGGGCACCTTCCCCAGCTCTCTGCAGTCCCTGGTCCACGGCATCACGTCGGAGGCCTTTGCAGTACCTTTCTTCATCATCATCTGGTGAGTGAGAACCACCTGGACCTCTGTGAGTATTCCCTACTGAAGCCCGTGGGCTTCTCTCCACTGGGAAATGGGAGCTTACCTGCTACACTTTAGGTGTTACTGAGCCTCTCCGAGCCTCATTTTTCATCTCTAAAATGGCCATAATAATAGCAATTCTTTCAGAGGATCATTGAGCCAATTCAGTAAGATCCCACATACAAGGCACTTAGCTCAATGCCTGACTTATAAAAACCCCAAAAATGTTACCTATTATTATTACTGATTATTCAAAAAATCACTTGCTTTTTGAAAAATAAACTGATTGCCCCTGGCCCAGTGGTTCAGTTGGTTGGAGTGTCATCCTGTTCACCGAAAGGCTGTGGGTTCAATTCCTGGTCAGGGCACATACCTAGGTTGCAGGTTTGATCCAGGTCAGGGTGCATGCGAGAGTTAACCTATCGATGTTTCTCTCTCTCTTTCCTTTCCTCTCTCTCCAATGTCATGGACTAGGTGGTTTATAAACAACAGAAACTTATTTCTCACAGTTCTGGAGCCTGGAAGTCCAAGATCAGGGTGCCAGATGACTGCATGCCCCTCCTGCAGCTTACAAACTTCTTATTGTGTCCTCGCAAGACAGAAGGGGACCAGGAGCCCTCTAGAGTCCCTTTTATCAGGGCACTAATCCAGATACCAAGGCTCCACCCTCATGACATAATCACCTCCCAAAGACCCCTCCTTCTAACACTGTCACATAGGGTATTAGCATTCGAACATGTGAATTTAGAGGGGCCACAAGTATTCAGACTGAGGTTGAACAAGGCCGTGACTATACCGCTGTCTTGTTTCAGTTCTCATGCCATAAGCAAGAGTCCTTTTTTTGCAGTCTATTTGGTGTCATGGTTCTTGTATTTTATGCTTTTAGTTGGTGACTTAACTGTTTGAAATGGCCCCAGATGTAGTGCTGAAATACTGTCTGGTGTTCCTAAGTGCAAGAAGGCTGTGATGTATTTACAGAGAAGATATGCACATTAGATGAGCTTCATTCAGTCATGAGTTACAGTGCTGTTGGATGTTAAGTTCAATGTTAATGAATATTAAATAAGGTGTCTTTAAACAGAAACAAGATTATGTGTTGATAACTTTTCTCAAAAAACAAGAAACATAAGACAACTTATTGATCAGTTGACAAACATGTTGTGACCGCTTATAGGAAACTAAGCCTGTATTTCCCCTAAGGACATTGGTTCAAAATCCACGAATTCAGTGTCCCTGGAGACTCTATAGAATATAACTGCCACAAATAACTGGAGTTGACTGTAGCTTACATGTATTAACTCATGAAATCACCACAATTACCCTATGATGTAGATAGACAATGTTACAGTGAAACACCACCATAATGCAAGAAGTGGGTAAAAAAATACATTTGTTAAGGGCAGGATCCCTTTGATGAGATAAAATGACCTCGGAGAACTGTGCAGTCAACCAACCTGGAATTCCAAGGACCCTGGAATTCAGCTACTCCAGCTGAATTCACCCCAGCTGTAGTTTGGCTGGCACCATCTGGTGCTGGTTACCTGATCTGGCTTCATCATCCTTGGGGACCATTCTTGTCCTTGGCCATGAGGACTTCCAGAAGAATAGCGTTGATATCAGTGATTCCAGTGGTCCTCTTTTCCCCAGCCCTGTCTGGGGAGGCTGCACAGGAACCACCTCTCCTTCATGCAATGAGCTTGCCTGCTGTTCTCCTCCACTCCACTTGCTCCCCTCATCAAAAATAATATCTTCAGTCACTCTCCATTTGAGATTTAGGGCTGCACAGAAAACAGGAGCCAATGACCAATTGCTTTTTATTAAAAATTGTATTATCCCAGGCTTGATACCACTGGGTTTTACTGTATTTCCCCCATTTTACAGATGAAAAAATGAGGCCAGAGAGATTCCACAGTGATCATTCATCGCTTTATCTCTTCCTGATGCCCTCTGCTTGAGAGAGGTGTGGGTTTTCTTTTTCTAACCAGTAGAACTGCTACAGGTGAAAGCTGTTGGGTTGTTGTTCTTGTGGCCTTCAAGTGGTACAAACTCCCTAGTGACCACTGCACCTTGTGTTGCAGCCTCGTCATGTTTTATTTCATTGCCCTGGCCGGAGCGCACAAGCGAGTGGTCGCCCAGCTCCGAGAGCAGCTATCCCTGGTAAGGAAGTATGCAGGTCTAGAGGGTTGTGGCTGGGGACGTTTACCCAGGACACCTAACGGTAAATGACACTTTCCCCAGGGATGCTATGGCCCCTCCGCCACCTATGCTTTCAGGCCAGGCCTCCTCCAACTTCATTCATTCAGTGACTAATTAATTCCTTCAACATATATTGGGTTGGCCAAAAAGTCCACTAGGTTTTCCCATAAAATAAAAGACACATTTTTCACTTTCACCAATAATTTTATTGATTTGGATATTTTGAGTATGTCGGATATCTTCTGCTATTGGCTTCTTGTGGATAGAGGCCAGGGGTGCTACTAAACATCCTCCAATGCATAAGACAGACCCACAGCAAAGAATTATTTGGCCAAAATGTCAATAAACTTCGGAAACCACTTTTGACACATTTGATCAGTCACAACACCTTCTCCATACACTGAACAAATGTTTTGTTTGTGTTCCAGTTGCATTTTTACCTTTCTTGAAATAGTAAAGCGTGTTGCATTAAAAAATGTTACATATATTCTTCTATCTTCAATATTAAAATGGCTACATAAGAATTCACCAATTCTGGTGTTTTTTTAAATGCATACTGATGTGACAGCTGTCACAATACAATCAAAAAAATTGTTTTGAATGAAGTTAAAGACAAGTAAACACTAGTAGAGCCATCATGTGGAAAAAATTAAATGAACTTTTTGGCTAACCCAAAATAAGCACTATCTGTGTGTCATATTGTGTGGGGATACAGTGGTGAAAAAGGGAGACAGGATAGATAAGTTAAAAAAAAAGATAAATTCTGATAACAATAACTACTGTGAAGATAATACAAACAAGGTAGAGACACAAGTGGGCCATTTGCTGCTGATAGGTGGTGGCCACTGAAGATCTGTTGAGGAGGTGGCTGACATTGCGGTTAAGACTTGAATGATGAGAAGGAGCTGATTATGGGAGGCTTGGGGATGAGAATAATAGGCAAAGTACAGTGAGGGAAGGAGCCACGCACTCCTGGGGGCTGCGAGGGAGGGTGGTGTGGCTGGAGGGGCAAGATGATGCTGGAATTGCAGCCAGGGTCCCGACATAGCCAGATGGCTCTGGTCAGAAGTTTGGGTGTCATTCTGAGAGTGACAGGAAGCCATTGGAGCGTGTGAAGTAGAAATCTGATGTACATTTTGAAAAGGTTATTGGCCACTCTGTGAAGAAGGGGCTGTGGAGGGGTCAAGAGTGAAAGAGACAGATGAGTCTGGAGACTATTACAATCGCCCAATGTTTAGTATCCTCAGCCTCATGTCTCATGAGTAATTTATTAGATTGAAATAATGATATTTGTTTCCAACTATATTGAATGTACTCTTGAACCTATTTCTTTTGTTTTAGGAAAGTCGTGACAAGCGTTATCTCATCCAGAAACTAACAGAAGCCCAGAAGGATATGAGGAACTAACTAGACTAATGGTGAAGATGTTGCTACATGTTGCTTATAAGCTGACTTAGTGACCTGCCGAGCCTACAAAGTCCACCTGGATTTTGAGTGAAATTTAAAAAAATATATTGTTTTGGAATTTAGGCCTTTCCTGAGGATGACTCCATATGTGCAGCTGCAGTGGCCATGTTTACTTGACCCAGCTCCTACCTAGGGCTGTAGTGATTTAGAAAAGCAGGTTCAAACCCGAGTCTTTGCCTGTTGACCAGCTACTCAGTGATTAGAAACCAAAAAACTGACTTATAAAGCCATTTAAGCTTTTACACCAAAAAATGGAGCAGGAGAGACCAGACCTTATATACTTTTAAGAGCTTATTTGTTTTGTCTTTTAAAGTTAACTGTAGCGGTTGTCTGTGCGTGAGGCTGGGGTAGTTCTTTTAAGTTCAGGCTGAGAAGTGTTCCTTAGGAAGTGGTGACCCTTTTATATGGTTCTGTAGACTTAAATGAACCCTGTTGTTGTAAATTAAGAAAGTACCTTGAATCATGGTTTTTGGACCAGATGGTGGAAACATGGAGAGGATGGCTATGTAATTTCAGCAACATGGTAGTAATAAGAGAAAAGCCATTCCTGCTGTGTGAGTTAGATAACCTCTGAATGTCCTAGATTACACTTTCTGAGGCATATTGCTGCAGGATGGCAGTGTTGATTTCTTAGCTGCATCCTTATTACAAAGGGGAAGGCTGCCTTTAAGGAGCTAAATAACCACAAGCCTTCAGTACCCTTCCAGTCCTGAGTTCAGGGACTTGGCAGAGGACCAGTGACATGAAATCAAAAGGCAGACAGTTTGTCTTCCAAATACCATTTCCCTTCCTGTGCTGAGGTCTCTATTTTTTAAGGACACTACACATTTCAGAGCCAGTCTGGAACAGGCTGTTGAGTATCTATTTGAGTTGTCTGTTTACATGCATAAGTGGTTTGGGAATGTGAGTTGCAGCTCTGCCCATTAATCACACCAATCTGTGCAATTGTACCAAATTAGACTGAATATTGGTTTCTTAGAAACACATACCCAAACTGTTAGGGGTTAAAATTTTAAACACAAGTGCCTTTATGTCACAAAACATGCAGAGTACCTCTTAAGATTTCCATTACAATAAAAACTGTATGCAATAAATACCTCATCATGAGCTTTCTGAAATTGATAGGCCTGAACTTTTAAACACAAGCCTAAGTTATTGTTTAATGTAATAATGTTTGATTTTTATATCTTCAGATCATTTTCAAAGTACTTTAGCTTTATAATGGACCATTTTGGCTGCCTTCCTTTCAGACTCTGAATCTTTCCTAGGGGTAGCCTGGAATTTAGCGTTTGGTGCAGGTTTTGAACGCTGCTGCTGTTAGGAATATTTTTCACCCCTTCCACCCTTCATTAGAAAAAAATGACTCTGCTCTGAGAAGCAAACCATGCTTACTACAGCTTATACATTGCTGTATATTTGTCCCTTTGCCAAGCCATTTACTTTCCTTCCACAAAGTTAGCATTAACATGGGATTTTTTGTACCTGTGAGACAAATGAGCTTTTCAAGCTTTTTCTCTCTTAAGTTTTATGTCTCCCTAAGTCTAATGACTAGGCTCATGGAATTTTGAGTAAACAAAAGTTCATTCCTCCCACACTTTTAAAAAATTCCAATTTGGGGCATTTCTGCCTAGTGTATTTATGTATATTGTGTTCTTGCCTTCATCATGCTTCGGAGGATAGTCAAGTTTTCTATTTGTATGTCTGTGTGTGTGTGTGTGTGTGTGTGTGTGTGTGTGAGAGAGAGAGAGATGGAAGCTGTTTTCTTATTATAAAAATGATGCTGAAATATACTAATATATTCGTTTTTAGTTAAATGCTGCTAATTTGCATACCTCTTGAGTGTTTATATCTATTTTGATAAGTTTAATAACTTTAGGTGATGTCTATGTAATTGCTCAAGTGCAGCTCTCAATAACAAATGTGCATGAAAAACTGATTAAGTAGTTTTGAAGGTTTTTCAGTGTGGTTGCATATATTTGAATTCATGAAGGTTTCTTGTCAATAATCAACTGATTATGTTACCAAACCACCCAGTGGAGGTCCTATCACTTGCTCACAAACAAAACTCTGGAGATAGAGTTCACTGGAAAGCAAAAGGAATCTTTTATTTAGTAACCACACAATTTGAAATAAAGGCAGGTTTCTGCCTCAAAGCCCATTCCTTCTAAAATATCCAAAGAAAAATAACACTGCCACCCTCTGCCAGGCCAGATCAGTCCTAGGCTGCACCTGGAATTCCTTTTCCCATTTAAAAACATCGTCCTTGGGAAAACGCAGGTGCTGCAGCATGCTTCTGGTCATGGTCTGTTCCAGGCATCTTTTGGAGTCTGTGCACACTGGCTGAAGTCCCAGTTGTGGCATGCTGCTCCTTCCTTGGCTTCTGCCCGCCAGTCCAGCACTTGCTCCCTGTCTCTTCAGCATTGTCTTGCCAATGCAGCTATGCTCCTGGTCAGGCAGGCCCGCACAGTATTCACTTGAATCGCCAGCACAGCTGTGGGTTCCCATGCAACCCAGGGGTGCAGGGTTACTGCCTGGCCACGCAGCCTTCAAGGCCCACCAGCCCAGGAACTCAAGACTCTGGCAACTGACTGGATCAGGGAGGGGAGGGGAAAGCAAAGAGTGCAGCATCTCCATGCTTTCCACTTTTTAAAGATGACCTGCAGAATCACCTGTATGACAGTAGATAGGTGTGTATGTCCCTCCATCCAATCACCACCCCGCCCCTAGTCCAACACACACGCCCTACAGCTTCCTTCTGCTGAGTCAGGCCATGTTGCCCCAGTTGTCGGTACAATACGCACTGATTCCCACAGCCGCACTGAGGCGGAGGCTGCAGCTCATGCACAGCCCTCTGTGCTTCCCAACCGAAGGGGTCCCCGTGTTACAATCATGGAAAATTTTGTTTGTAAAGTTGTTCTTTGCCTTTTCCTAGAATCAGAGAGAAGTGTGTAATTATAGGAAATCATCAGATGAGTGTTTTTAAGGCTCCTTGGCTCTGCTGAAGCCGAGCCAGTGCGTGTGTGTTTTAAACTTAAAAGACGTAGAATTATTTCAAGCACTCCCCCATCCCACACCCACAGACGGAACCACTGCTGATGATGTTTTTGCTCCCCCCGAATTATAACCCATATTCAAAGAGATATATTTATGTGAATGTATAAAATATATATTTCTGAGCTTCTCCCTTTTTTCTCATAACATCTTGAAAATCCTTCCATGTAAATAGTCATCACATTCTTTTTAATAGCTTCATACCATTCCATTATATCAATGTGTTACAAAACTCAAGGAGGTCACTGCTTGGGGTGTTTTATTCAAGAACAGGATGTGGCCTTGGATGAGTAGCTAGTTGGTTAGAGTGTCAGCCTAATACTCCAAGGCTCTGGGTTCGACCCCCAGTCCGGGCACATAAAAGAAACAACCAACAAATGCATAGATAAATGGAATAACAAATCAGTATTTCTCTTTCTACTTTCCTCTCTCTCTAAAATCAATGAATTTTTTTTTTTTAAAGAACAAGGTGTGGTTATCACAAGGTAGTTTTACTTGCAGCGAGTAAAGGAGACAGGAGATTCACATTGGAAGCTCTGTCTCCCTGAAGGGAGCCTTAGCTATTTCTTATATATAAACTGTTTGGTTAATTACATGTTGCCTTATTTTTATTTTTTTTAAAGATTTTAAAAACATTTTCAACAATTTTTTTCTAATGACTTCATTTCTTAGAGCAGTTTTAGATTCACAGCAAAACTGTGAGAGGAAGGTATAAAGATTTTCCCGTATACCCCCTACCCCTCACATGCATAGCTCCCCATTTATCAACATCTCCTACCAGAGTGGTATATTTGTTACAACTGATGAATCTACATTGACACCTTGGATACTCACTTTTGAAAGTATGATATATGATAACTAAATCTCCTCTCCCTACCCCAACCCCCAAGAAACCAAAGTGCACCGATATAAGTGCAACCAACAGTAAAGTGGACACAAAAAATACATGTTCTCTGCAGAACATCTAAAATTGAGAAAAGGACTAGGAAGAAGTTTTAAGTAGTCTGTCAGTCCCAATACCTAGAGATAACACTACTGGCCATGTGTTGAATTTAATTTCAGTATGTAATTTCTCCTGTTTTGAAGTGGTTGTAGGATAGAAGGAGAAAAATCTTTTTCCATGTTGGTAAAGCAGAAAGTACGATCGTTATACCAATAAATGCATTCATTCATGATCCTGTTTCCCACGGATCTTTATCCTGTTGGGAGATGGGAGAGGAGTTGGAGGGCGGGTGTAAAAGGTGAAGGGATTTAGAAGTACAAGTTGGTAGTTACAGAATAGCCGTGGGGGATGTAAAGTATAGCATGAGGAATACGGTTAATAATAATATTGTAATAAATCCATACGATGTCACGTGGGTCCTAGATTTATCTGGGTGATCACTTCATAAGTTACATAAATGTCTAATTACGGGGTTGTACCCCTGAAACTAATATATTATGTCGACTATAATTTAAAATAAAAACTGCAATTTTTTTAAAAAACTTTACACTGTCGGGAATTTTGAAAGAGCAATTTAGTAGCCTCACTTCGAAAGCAACCCAAGGCTCTCCGCTGTGGAAATCCTAAGTGATTAATAGTGACCGCATCCAATAGAATCTTTTCATTTGCGATTTTCAACCAATAGAATGGAAACAGGGGCATTTCCACAACTACGAATACGGGCTGTGTCGTCCTTACGTCTGCCTTGCGTCATCAGTATGAGCCAAGGGCAGGTTTGGCTCAACGTCGCCCAAAGGAGTACTTTGTTGTCGCGGCAATGAGCTGTGCCGGGTTGATGGCGTCTTGCTTCCTGGGGCGGCTACGCACGGGCGCCCCGCGGCACCTCCCAGGTAAAAGGGGAGCGCGGCCGTGGTACTGCGCTGGCCGGGCAAGCCAGGGTATTTTCCCCTGGGGTTTGGGACGGAGAGGTCACGGGGAAGGCGTTTACGTACGTCACAGGGCTGCGACCGCGTGCGACTGCGAGACTTGAAACGCTGGGGCACTCGCGGCTAGGTTGGCCCAGCTGAACGCCGCGGGATTGCGGGGCGAGGCTGGGATGGTTTTATGCAAGATTCTCTGGGGTAGCCACTCGGGGTTGATGCGTTGGGAGTTGCACACTCATGCCTTCACGTCACTGCATATATGGTCGGAGTTCCCGGCTGAGGACAGTTGACGCCTTTGAAAGTTGAGTGCCTCGGGGGTGTCATCGTTGCCTTCGCTGAGGGTCTTGGCAGGCACGGTAGTCACGCGAACAGTATCTGCGTTCCCCAATCTCCACCCCCGAGCTTGTTAGAAATGCAGGTTGTCAGGTCCTCCACTGATCTACTGGGTCTCTGTGTCTGCCTTTAGTATTTTAACAAGCCCTTGGAATGAGTTGTATACATTAGAAATTTTGAAAAACACCACGGTAGTGGAGGGAACATCGCGTTTTGAGTAGGGAAACTTGGGTTTGGGTCCTGGCTGCTGCTCCTTTGCTCGGTTCATCTGAGGTGCCTCAGGAAATTGTGACGTCATTTTCTCAATTCGTTTATGTACCACTTTCAGGATTTTGCCTTACAGCAATACCACTTGTATATGCTTTTGATTATTAAATGTTTTTCCCCTAACCGTGTTCCATTTTTAAGTTAAACAACTTAAGGGAAACTAAATCTTTACGGTAAACAGAAGACCAGCATTGCCTACCCTAAATAGAGTAATCATCAAAAATCAATACACTGAAAACAAAAAGTTATTAAATTGTAAGATATTGTTGCCTATCAAGGCTTGAGCCAAGACCATCTTTTCTTTTTCTGGTAAGAAGAAAAAAAAAAAGAAATTAACAAGTGTTAGGAAGGTGTTCAAAATCTGTCAGCTCTAAACATACCAGTCAGCCTCATTGATTAAATCAAAAGGAATGAAAGAGAATAACTCTTACTACATGGGTGTTATTCAATGTATGTTCATAAACCACTTAAGATATCCTTGTATACCACTTAAAATCTTGTAGGTGACATCATTGTTATATGTTTCACACTTTGGAAAATACAAATATACAATGAGACATTTGAGAGCTGCTAGCATTGGCCCTCAAGTTTATTTGTTAAAGTATGTCACAGTATAGGCAAAACTCACAGGATTGTTGAACGTGAATTTTAATGCTTTGTTAAGTCAGTGAGTATAACAGAATAAGAATCATTTCTTTTTCATTTATAAAGTTACTTTGCTCTCTATATCATTTATCTTTGTGATAACTCAGTAAGAAAGGTTTTATTATTCTATGTTTTCCTTTAAAAAGGAAATAGCCTGGTTACTACCAATTTTTTATGTAAGGAATGGCAATTCTGATTTGTCCAAAGTTAGCTTTTGAGATAAGGCACATTTTCTGACTCCCACTCTGTGCCTTTTCTGTGGTCCCTCCATAAGAAATTGTGAAAAAATAGAAGTGGCAAATGTGATACTCAAAACTCTACATTACCCCGCACCCCAAATCATTTATTAGGTGCCCGAATCTGGAAAGGTGGTATAGTGCTAGAGAACAGTCTCGTATGTTTTTACTATAAATATAATCCTGCCCATCAAAAGTCGTGTGTGTTTGAACTCATCCTGTGTACTCAGCCCCTTGTATTTTTCACTAAAGGTTTGTGTTTTTTTTTTAATGAGTGCTATGTTGTCTTTAACATTCTTTCCCATTGACATGTTTTGGGTTGAGAGTAACAAACAAAAGAACAAGCAAACAAGATTATTTAAAGAAATAGTGCCAGCTCATCATTTTCCCTTTCAATTCTTGGGCCCCACCTTTCTGTAAGGACGTGAGATTGATGGAAGCGCTAGTCCTTGAACTAGGAGGCAAAACTTGCAAGAGGCTACCTTGACTTTGTCAATGTCTCAGATTGTTCTCCACGTAAAAACATGGCCATGGATGACAGTGACCCATTGTCTGAAGGCACAGAACTGAATGGTACATTATACTTGGTAGAATTTGGAGTCCAGGAACTGGAATCCAGTTTCGTGAGTCAGATATGCTGAGTGAGATGGAGCGTGTTGTACGATCAAAGCTGGATCACCACACTTCACACCTCCGTGTCCACAGTCCTTTGTGCAGAGTGAGGCATTTTAAACTCCACTTGACCGATAAGTTCCAATGTAGAACAACCCCAAATGCCAGTAGGCCTACCCCCATCACCTTGTGTCCAAAGCATGCAAGGCTTTTTTTTTTTTTTTCCATTTTTGATGTTTTATTGGTTGTGCTATTAGAGATGTCCTATTTTTTCCCCTTTTCCCCCTCTGCACAGCCCGCCCCCTGCTTCCGTAGTCAATCCCCACACCTTTGTCCATGTCCATGGGTCCTTCATGTATGTCCTTTGACTAATTCCTTCACCTTCTTTCAGTCAGTCCCCGCCTCTCCCCTCCCCCCTTACAGCTGTCAGTCTGTTCCATGATTCCGTGCCTCTGGTTCTGTTTTGCTCATTAGTAAATTTTGTTCATTAGATACCTCTTATAAGTGAGATCATAGGATATTTTTCTTTCATCTACTGACTGACTTCATTTAGCAGCACTCAAGCCTTTTTAATGAAAAACTACAGATGTACCCAAAATGAAAATTTCCACACATTTTCTGGTGTTGAGGTTAGCCTAAGTGAAAAGTGTCTATTAAAGACATGATTGTCATACGTAATCCTTGGAACACATCTCATGATAATATCAAAGTTCATGTTACAAACGAAATAGTCTCTGCAGGTCTCTATTTCCATATCTGCAAAATGGTGTAAAACAGTGTACACACCTAAACACATTACAAAACCCTTTTCTTAATGAAAAAAACTTTTTGCATGCCTTCAAACAAGGCTCAGAGAATACAATCCAGGTGTTACCACTCGCAAATTTTGCTAATTAGGAGAAAAACAAAATCTAATCTGTCCTGAAGAAATTGCATTTTGAAGACAAGAATAATTCAGTTGAATTGGTTATGTACCATAATGCGATGAAAGATAAGTTCTAAGGCTTACTTTTCAAAATAAGATACCCATGCATGCGGGTGTTTTAAGAGAACTTAAATCTATGGTTCTCAACCTTGGCTGCAGAGATTATTCGTGCACAGAGCGTTTAAAAAATATCCATGCCCCTCTCCCAGAAATCGACTGGGGAGGAGAATTTATGGTTTTGAAAGCTCCCTAGAAGGTTCTGTGTAGCCGGGATTGGGAACGAAGCAGGCCAGGAGGGACGGTGAGTGGGAGAACCGTGCCTAGATCTAGAGCCAGCTGCTGCGTGAACTACCTAGGGAGAAGAAGGGCCCAGAATTTCCAGATCTTCATACCCTTAACACAGAAATCCAGATACAGTATTTAGCTAAAATCTTCTGTTTCAAGTGTAGGTAACTAATTTAAAAAAAAAAACCAAAACACTACAGGATAAACAATATACTTAAGGGCATGTCAGCCTGCGGGGAACTCATTTGTTCTAAGGTGCCCCTTTTTTTTGTCTGTAAAAGGAAACATCTCAGTTTTCCTTAAGAGTAATGAAGACTAAACACTTGCATTGCAGCTTATGGAAGAAGAATCAGTGTCAGATTTTGCAGCTCAGGGATGACTTTAGACAGTATCAATCGGGCAACAGTGGATCGAATTATCCGGGTGGATCACGCAGGTGAATATGGAGCAAACCGCATCTATGCAGGACAGATGGCCGTCCTGGGTCGCACAAGTGTCGGGCCAGTCATTCAGGTGGGTGCAGCTTTATCTCTTTCAGCCTGGTCTACTGAACAGGGCTTACAGGGGTGGGGACCCAAAGACCTTCAAGTAATAAATCACATTAATTCATGCATTCTCAGGGGATGTACGCTTTGTCCCCAAACAAGTGAAGTTGGATACTGGGGAGGGATGAGTGAAAAGTATACTATTCTTTTTATGTGTAGAATACAGACGGGCAGATATATGGTATATCTATAGTATTAACTTTTCATGTGAGGGTGGTTGATAGTGAAAATGGGGTTGGGAATTACATTGGGTAAAAGTGTCAGTTGCCGAGAGCTTGCCTCCTGCCCTCAGTGGAGTCCAGTGGAGATATTTTATGCTGAGAAGCAAAGGAACAGACCTGGGCTTTATAATCACACAGACCCAGTTTCACATTCCAACTCTCCCACCTCCTACTTCTGTGACCTTGGAGAAGGGACATAATCTCTGGGTCTTCATTTCCACATCTGCAAAATGGGCTGATAACAGCTATCTCACTGGGTTTTGGGGAGGAATAAGGGGGCTGGTACACAGCAGCTGAGACCATGCCTGGCCTGTAACAGACACTCAGCACAAGTTAAGTTGCCTTTTCTGAGTGCTCAGGCAAGTTACTTAGCCTCTCTGTGCCTCACTTTATCTGTATCATGGGGAACACGGTTTGTCCTTCACAAAGCAGTTGTGCAGCTTAAGAGAGTTGCCTGTGTAAAACTATTTGACAGCGCCCGGCACTTGGGAAGTGCTGGTGTTAGCTGTTATTGTGATTCCCCCCTTCTCCTTTGATGTAAATGATACTTACATGCTAGCAACCTGGAAGGAAAGTACATGATAGCTAATATTCTGCCCTCCTAATTTTGAAATGAGCTAAATATCATATTTCTCATGAGTGTGGACCCTCTTCCTTTAATAGGCATTTTGTAGGTCTGAGGTGCTTCTGTCAGAATCATGGCTCACAGACAGGGCATGTAGCTTCTTTGGGATTCAGTGGGCAGTGGCGTGTATAGAATGCTTACATGTCTTTATTGTTACATTTCTTGCAGAAAATGTGGGATCAAGAAAAGGACCACTTGAAAAAGTTCAATGAATTGATGGTTGCATTCAGGGTCCGGCCGACGATTCTGATGCCCTTTTGGAATGTGGTGGGGTTTGCACTGGGTGTGTGTCTGTCCGGAGGGCTTATGGGAGCTGAGAGGTCTAGGATGGTCATATCCCTTAAGTACCGCTTCACAAGTTTTGCTGTGTCCTCCTGCATCCTTTTTTTTATTCACTTAGTATTTTTCTAAAGTTAAATTGGCTGACTTTTCTTTGCTTAAACTTATTTAAGACAGACTCTTAAAATCAGTAGTTTTATAAATAAAAGACACAGTAAAAATAGATACAACAAACACAGCTAGGCTACTTCAGTTGCTGCCAGATAATATCTCCTGACAAAGGTTTTAAACCTGAGACTGCTCTGCATTTGACAATTCCAGGTGCGGGAACTGCCCTGCTTGGGAAGGAGGGGGCGATGGCCTGCACTGTGGCTGTGGAAGAGTCCATAGCGCATCACTACAACAACCAGATCAGGACATTGATGGAGGAGGATCCTGAAAAATACAATGAGCTGCTGCAGGTATTTGACTGTACTCTGAAAAGGGGCTGATAAGGGGGAAAGGGGCGGACATGCAGTTTGGTGAGAAGACCAAAAAAAGAATGTTAGGGAATGATGGGACCTTAGAAATCTAGGTCAGCGCCTCAGTTCAAAGGCATGGAAACTAAGGCACAGAGCTGAAGCTGCGTGCCCTGGTCACGTGACTAGGCAGAGGTCAGAAACATTTGTCTTCTGAGCCAGGGCCTGTATTCTCTCCCTTTCCAGATTTGTGGTAGATCCTGAGCAAATGCAGCTAGCGGGAACCTTTCAGGTAAATGAACTGAAAGATGCCCTCAGGTAATTTTCTATAGCAGATAAGGGAACAGATACAGGCCAGGCTTTTTTAAAAGCCTAAATCAGTTTGATAAACTATGGCCTGTGACCAATCACCTGCTTCTGTAAATAAAGTTTTATTGGAATTCAGCTATACCCATTTGTTTACATGTGTTTGGCTGCTGTCCCCTCTACGAGGTCAGAGTTGAGTAGCTGTGATAGGGACTGTACAACGCTTAAAGTATTGACTCTTTCTCTTCATAGGACAAGTTTACCTACCCTTGTCTTAGGTAATAATACGGGTCTTTACCCTTTGGAATAAGACAGAACACCGGGAGAGTTAGAATGCTGACTTGTTTCAATTTCTTCTTTTTTTTAACCAGGTGATAAAGAAATTTAGGGATGAAGAGCTTGAGCACCATGACATCGGCCTTGAACATGACGCAGAACTGGTGAGGACCTTACCTTTACTGTCTGCATGTGGTGCTTTGGGCACCTGTGTAAAGGCTGAGGGGTGGGAAGGTTTCTGTTCCCAGAAAATAGATTTCACAGTCACCGCCAAAGAAAGAAAACCAGCACACCGCCTTGACAAAGAGCAAGCTTCCAACTGGGAGTCTTGGTCCTTGCTTTCCGCCCTTAACCTTTTTCCCTATCAGCTCCTTTTCCCTTTCCAGTGAGAAACCAGATGACTCCACGCTTTGGCAATAGCAGAAGCATTCTATTCTTTGAATAGGGATTTTTATTTTTCAAATTAAAATGACTTGTTTCTTAGGTCTTATTTCTTATCCAAAGATATCTCAAACCTGCCATGCCTGTATCTCACCACTAAAAGTGAACATAGAACATATTTCTTTTGCTTGTTTATCGTTGTCTTTAACAGGCTCCAGCATATGCTGTTTTGAAGAGGGTTATCCAGGCTGGATGCAGTGTGGCAATATATTTATCAGAAAGATTTTAAGGTATGTCTACTCTACCTTGTGTATAAAGATGATAGTAATTTAACAAGTGATATGGGCAGAAAAGGGAATGTAGCAGTTATTACTGTGCAAGAGCTTACTGCCCCACACGCATGGAAGGTAATACTATGACATTGTCTTTTGAAAAAGACAAGGCTTTAATTGCAAGGTCCACTAGCAGTGAGACAGGAGGCAAGGCTCAAATCTCTCCCTACTGAGGGATTTTGGGCTACATTTAAAAGAAGAAGTGGGGGAAGTTGTATATATTTATAGTTAACATTGATTCAACATAATGAGAGCCTTGTGCGCAGGTGCTTGGGAATCACAGCTTTTCATACATCGAATGTCTGAATTTGGTGTTGGGAGTTTATATGTTGTCCACAGTGGACTTTGACCTAGTGGCTTTGAAAGATTATTCAGGGGTAAATTCTTTCTCTAGTGCACTTATCCCACTGTCTGAGTACATTGTGCAGCATTATTCTGCTGTCCATGAAAAACAACTTAGTATCTCATTAGGAACAGAACAGGCCAGTTTATGCTAGTTTCACAGTTACATTATTGTTACATGAATTTCATTAATAACTGTAAGAGTTTTTTTGTTTTTTGTTTTAAATTAATAAAACTCTCCAGTGTTGTTTTCTTTTTTTCCTGTGTCTGCTGTAAGGCTGACAGTTCACCAGGTGCATTCAGATTACAGCAAAGGTGGTCATTGTTTGGTCTATAGCTATTTTTTTCCTTCAACAGCAAAAATAAATCATTACAAAAGTGACAGAAATCTAAAGAAAAAATTTGAGGTTACTGGTAAAAAAAGGAAATTGAAAATACAAGGGTGTTTGAGTTTGACAAAGAAAGACTCAAGTTCATCAGGTGAGAGAAAGACTGTGAGTTGTTTCTATTTTGAATTGTGGATTGAAGGTGGGCTCCCTCCATTAGAGAATATACTAAGTTGTGGATTGTTTGTGAAGTTTCATTATAATAATTTTCTTTAGGTCTCTTACCAAAAGATTGAACTTTTCATACTGTGTTGAGATCTTTTATGATTTGCAAGTTTTTAAGTAATTTATAAAAAACCTAGCTTAGTGATTCTCCTCTCTGGTTGCACCTTAGAATGTCCTGAGGGGCTTTTTAAAATTTTCGATGGTAAACCAAAAATTCTAAATTAGAGTGGGGCCCAGGATGTGAATAGTTTCCAAAGCTTCCAGGTAATTCTAGTGTGAGTCCAGACTGGGGACCCCTGGCCTAGACTCTAAACTTTTGTGATGAAGAATTACATCACCAGAATTACTAAAACATTGCCTTCCACCGGCATCCTGGGTTCATTCAGCACTGCATGACGGGCATGACGTGTCTCCCGGGGTCCGGTTTCGAAGGACAGTGGACACCTGCATACTGTGGATTAGTCAGCTGCTCTTTTCCTAACCCAAGAGTGAGTTTAGTTTTATGTAATTAAGTAGATTAATCCTCTGATAATCATTTGCAATAAATTAAACATGGGAGAGAAGGGTCAAAGACAATTTGAGATCCCCAGCTCTTTAGTGCTAGGTGACAGTCAGACACCTGTAGTGTAGTTTATTTAGTGCAGTTGGTTAACAACTGGAAAGCCTAGTTCCTACAGTGACTGCCTCATGTCTACATTATTTTATAAATGTTCATTTTATGTCTTTCCTATATAAGACCATGAGTTTCTTGAGGACAGTCTTTTCCAGTCCTTGATACGTTGTAGGTGCCCATTTAGAGGGAAACAAGAAGGAATGAAAGAAGGAAAAAGGAAAAGAGAAAGTGAGGAAATGATCAAGACGTTCTTAAGCAGCTGCAAAACTGCTATGAAAGCGGCCTCGTAGGCTGCTCCTCAGGCGCTCTTGATGCCAGGGGTCCCAGGCCGAGGTTTTTGGCCCTGCCTGCTTATCACCTTTTGGTATCTCATCCCACCTTGTGGCTGCTTCCTTCACATATGTATCTCTACCCCAGATTTCTCATTTTCAAATAGCCCGCTTCCTACCTGACCCCTCCACTTGGAAGTTGAAGAGAATCTTAGGCTCCACCTGTCCCAAGCTGAACTCGGCCCCTCCTCCCCCGAGTCCTGCTTCCCCATCACAGTTGATGGCAACTCAATCTTTCTGGTTCTCAGGCCAAAACCTTCTGGAGTCACCTTTGACACTCACCTTTATTATAGTCCCATCTAATTGATCAGGCCATCCTGTGGGCTCTGCCAAGTCCTTTTCGTTGCCTTTAGTACTTCTACTCAGAGCCCCGCAACCCTCATCTCTCACCCAGGTTGTTGTAGAAGCCTCCTAATGATTTCTCCCACCTTACCCTTGTCCTCCCAGAAATCATTCTCAACCTGCAGGTAAGTGATCCTTTGAACCATCAGCCAGACCACGGTACTGCTAAGCTCAGAACCGCCCCCCTCTCCACACCGCCCGCCCTTGGCATTCCCTCATTCCCTCAGGATAAAAGTCAAAGTCCCTAAAGTGGTTTACAAGACCCTACATGGTCTGGCCCTCTGTGATCTCTTCCCCCTTCTGCTCTCTGCTCCAGCCACACGGGCCTCCTTGCAGTTCCTCAGAAATGCCAGACATGCTCCTGCCATGTGGTCTTTGCAATCGCTGTCCCTCTGCCTGGAATGCTCTTTCCTAGATATCCATATGGTCAAATTTCTCATCAACTCCTAAGGTTTGGCTTAAATGTTACCTTTTAAAAGGACCACCTTTTTCAAAATTTCGAACTTTACCCCACGGCATGCACTGCTGCCCTGCTCCGCGCCCTTCGCCTGCCATGGCACTTACACCATCTAGCATATTACATAATGTACTTGTTATGTTTCTTGTCTGTTTTTTCTTGCAAGAACGTAAGCTCTTGAGGGCAAGAATCCTTGTTTTAATCACTGAGCCGTAATAGGTACTCAATAAATAGTTCTTGATGGGAATGAATAAAGAAATCACACTCCCATATTAGAAGTCATTTTCACATAGTTGAAGACTACCCCTGGTAGTCTTCCGTGGAAATTTAATTGAAAGGATGCTACCTGTCTGGGCTGAGCCCCTGGGCCCCTGGGCCCCTGGTCTGTATAAATTCTTTTGCTGTAAAACTCAAAATCTTTCAGCTTGGCAGAAGTGGAGGGGGTATGGATGAAGGGAAGAAAAAAAGGGAAGAGATGCTACCAGAAAACCAAAGGAAGGCCATTCTGTATGCTTCTTGCTGATGATTAAAAACAAAACAAAAATTAACAGGCTGGATATCCACATATAAAAGAATGAGTTTAGACTCCTTATGTCATAACATATACAAAAATTAACTCAAACCAAAAATCTAAATATTAATGCTAAAAGTTTAGCTCTTAGGAGAAAACATAGGAGTAAATCTCTACGTGACCTAGGATTATGCAGCAGTTTCTTAGATATGACTCCAAAAGCACATGCAGCAAAATTGTAAAAATAGGTAAATTGACCTTCATCAAAATAAAAACTTTTGTGCTTTGAAGAACACCGTCAAGAAAGTGGAAAGATACCCACAGTAGGAGAGAATATTTGCAAGTCATATGTCTTATAAGGGATTTGTATCTAAACTATGTGAAGAATTCTTACAATTTAGCCCTGACTGGTGTGGCTGAGTTGGCTGGATGTCATCCTGCAAAGAGAAAGGCTCCTGGCTCGATTCCCAGTCAGGGAACATGCCTGGGTTGCGGGGCAGTTCCTTGTTGGAGTGCCCGTGAGGAGCAACTGAATGATGTTTCTCTCCCTTTTTTCCCCTCCCTTCTCTCTCAAAATAAATAAAATCTTTTTTTAAAAAAAGAATTCTTACAATTCAACAGTAAGACAAATAGCCCAATTAAAAACAGGCAAAGGGTTTGAATAGACAGGTCTCCAGAGAAGATGTACAAATGGTCAATAAACAGTTAAAAAGATGCTCAACATCATTAGTCATCAGAGAAAACTGCACCACTATAATAGCTATAATCAAAAGGACAATAAATCAAAATGAAAATAAGCATTGCTGAGGCTGTGAGAAATTAGAATCTTTGTACACTGTTGGTACAAAGAATATAAAATGTTGCAGCCTCTTTGGAAGACAGCCTTACAGTTCCTCAGTTAAACATGGAATTAACTGTATGATACAGTAACCCCTCTCCCTAAACCCAAAAGGAATGAAAACATGTTCAAACAAATATTTGTACATCAATATTCATAGCAACATTATTCATAATAGCCAAAAAGTGGAAACAACCCAAACATCTATCATCTGATGAATGGATAGCCAAAATGTGGAGTACAATGGAATGTTATTTAGTCATAAAAAGGAATGAAGTACTGATACATGCTATAACATTGATGGACCTTAAAAATATGATGCTTGAATACAAAGTTTCACTATGGAAAGATAAAAATAGTTCTGGATATGGATAAGGACACAATAATGCCATTATTGTCCTTAATGCCATTGAACTCTACACATAATGGTTAAAATGGTAAATTTTATAATGTATATTTTACCACAAATAATAATTTAAAAATTACACTAAGTGAAAGAAGCCAGACACAAAAAGGCCACATATTGTATGATCCCGTTTATATGAAATGTCCAGAATAGGCAAATCCAAAGAGAACAAAAATAGACATGGTTGGCTAGGGCTGCAAGGATTTGGGGAGTAACTGCTAATGGATACAGAGTTTCTTGGGGGGGTCACGAATGTTCTAGAATTAGATGGTGGTGATAGTTGTACAACCTTGTGACCACTAAAAACCACTGAATCATACACTTTAAAGTGAATTTTATGGCATGTGAATCACAGCAATAAAACAATACAGGATTTATAGTTTTACGTGGTATCTGAAAGCAGTTTTGATCCAGGCTTTTAAATGGGGAAACTTTCTTTAATGTACCATCCTTCAAGCCTGTGGTGCATATAGAAGCCTCGATCTATGAGATGCTGGTGGTATCTGTTGCCCTCTGGAATCAAAGCGAATTGTACTGCAGTCAGGAATCTGAGGCAAATAAAGGCACTTTGTACAATCCTTATTAAAAGGCCAGGTTTGTTGCTGCTTGTCCCCTTCAGAATTGATGGCTGGTGTTTTATGCTTCTGAGAGCTTCCAAAACAAGAACAGATTTTTTGAATCCCCTTTTGATTGTATTTGATTTCATTACAGCTTGTCCTAGCGTATTAACAAGGTAATCTTTCCTTTTCCTTACTTTACTGCTCTGACCTTTCAGGGGAAATGTGATTTAAAAATTGGACACGATCCAAAGATGATGCCAGCATGACAAAGGATATTATTCTTACAGGCAGTATGGTTCCAAATGATCTGAGCTGTCGTTCTTTGCATGTATGATTCCCCCTCTACTCAAAGTGTGGTCCATGGACCAACAGAGGCATCAATTGTGAGCATGTGGGAAATGCAGAACTTTTGGCTCCTCCCCAGACCTACTAATTCAGAATGTGCATTTTAACAAGATGTCGTGGTTTAAAAGTATGTCCACAAATTCCTCAATACTCCTCTGTTTAGTGGAACCTGATTCTCCTTGTTTCGAGTGTGGGCTGTCCTTAATGACTTGTTTCTAACAGACAATATAGTGGAAATGATGGAGTATACTTCAAGGCTGGTAGGTCATAAAAGACATGGCCGTTTTTACCCTTCTCTCCAGGATCACTCACTCTGGGGGGAGCCAGCCGCCATGTGATGAGGACACTTAGGCACTTACTCTGTGGAGAGGGTCACATGGCCAAGAACTGAGGCCTCCTGCCTATAGCTGTGTCTCTGCAACATCTTGGAAGTGACTCCATCAGCCCCAGTCAAGCCTTCAGGTGACCTCATGAGAGACCCAGAGCCAGAATCACCCAGCTAAGTCAGTCCTGAATTCCTCACTCTCAGCAACTATGCTAGATAATAAATGTTTATTTTCAGCTGCCAAGTTTTGGACTGATATGCTATAAAGCAATAGATAACCAATATACAACACTTGCACATGATTTGGGGCACAGTAAAATTTGAGAAGCACTGAACTAGGCCATGAACTGGAAGGCAGAGACCAACTTAGTTTTTTTGTGTATCTTCAGAGCTTAATACAGTGTCTGATGCTCTGCAAATTTTTCTTAGATTAAATGCAAAATTAAGTTGCCCTGTTTCAAAAAATAAAATTTTTCTTTGTAATCATGTATGCACATTTGTAAAATACTCCAACATGCTAAAGTGTATTAGCAGTGACCAGTGAATCTCCCTGCAGACCGCTTGTTGATGAACAGGAAACTGACCAGCTGCCTTACTTTGTGATTACCTATTAGCAATCTGCCACGTAAGACAGTATGTTTTTTTTTCTTCTTATCCCTTCCAAAAGTAATGTTTGCCACAAAATCAAAACAATACGAACTGCACATAAGTAAAATAGAAAAGAAAGCACCCCTTCCAAACTTATTTCCTAGAAGTAAAACCATTATAAGAATTCATTTTGTACATTTCTAGACTTTAAAAAAAACTTTTTATCCGTATATGTACGCATTTGGGTTTGTATTGTTCCCCAAATGGAATGATACTGTGCATCTTGACCTGCAGTTTGCCTTTTTCTTTCAGTGACCTACTTGGCCATCCGTCCAAGCTGATGCCTGTAGATCCGCCTCACTCATTTAATTGGCTGCAGTTCTGTGTACAGCTGAGCCACTGTACCGTGCCAGCTCCTTCCCCTCACTGAAGAAGTACTGTTTTAACTGCTTTACCCCCTGAACTCTCAGGACCACCTTGTAAAACATGAACTCTCTCAGTCCCCGTGTCCCCCCCCCCCCCCCGCCATTTGCAGTATTCTAGGTCCTGGAGAGGCTTGAACTTTATCACTAGGCCATCCAGCCTCTTATTCCTCTCTTCGCCTCTCAGTGAACATTTGGGTTATTAATAACAGACTTTGGGGACCACATTTGAACATAGTTTCTATAGAATTTTAGGAGGAGGGACCCCCTTGGTGTTCTTCACCCTTTTGGAGATCCCATACCTCCTGGAGAGTAAGATAAAAATTGGACTTTTACCCCGTAAACTCCTAAAAATCCTCCTTAAGACCCCTGGTTTCAGGTGATTTGCCAAGAAGAAAACATGACCTTTCCCAGCTGAGAGGAACAAAAAAAACCTTTCCTCAAAACCACCTCTTTCTGGCCCTGCCAGAGCACAAAGCACTTTCCTATTGAATATGTTTTCAAAGGTTTAAAGGGCCCCTCTTGCCTTGGGGGACGTGCTTCCTCCCTCTTCTTCCCGAAATGGCAGCCCTGCTGAGCTGTGACTGAACACGACAGGTCCTTTGATCGCGGTTCACGAAAAAATTGCTACTGGGCACGCCAAGGGCAAGGAAGGTCTAAATCTAGGGCTTCCCGACATCTGTGGCCACCAGAGGGCGCCCTCACCTAAGAGTCCTGAGTCGAAAATACTGCCAACCCTGCTGCTAGTCGTTTCCAGAATGTCGTAGGGACAGCCCTGGGGAGTGTGGACAGGCAATTGCTATGCGTTGTGATAATCTGGTCATAATAATCCCACCCCCTGATCTTTGCTGTTAGATGAGAGTGGAATGTTACATTTGCACATTGCAAGATGTGGAGGGCTTGCTCAACTGGCTGTTCTACTCTGGGCCACTGACTTGAGCGTCCTTATGAGGGAGGAGGCATTTTCTTGCTGCGCTGACTGCATATTCATTAGCTGGCACTGCTTCCTGCACTCACCTTGCTCACTGCCTCCTTCTGATCCATATGCTCTGCCCTTCTGCTGAAGCTTGTTTGCCCTTTCAACCCTGTGTCTCTTAGGCGAAATCATTACACACCCTCTGTCCTATCCCTGCATATTCTGGCCTCCTGCGTTGGTGTTACATGGTTGTTACCTGCTTTCCTACCATTTCTCCAACCTGGCAGTGAGCTCAGAGTCAAGGGCTGTCCCCAGTGCGTGGAGTGTAGCAGTTCCTTGGTCAACATTTGATAAGTAAATCAAAGCTAAAAACAAATCATGCAGGCTCATAGAATGGAACAAAATGAATTGAAACATAATGACAGTCACCTACCTGCTCTCAATATGAATACACCTAGAAACTTCTGGATGAAATTTCGTATTTCGAAGTGGAGAAGGAGGGTCAAAGTTGTGAGTGTCCGGTCCTCCCCAGCATAAATCTGACAAACATTTCACCGGTAACCATGTCTCAACTCTTCTCCTTCAAAATGTTTTTTATTTATAGCTGCTGTGTTGTGGGGTTTTCTTTAGAATTTCTCTTTATGATATTTCTTTTCTTTTTAAAAAATCCAAATTATATTTCCAGTTATACAGAATTTTGTAATGTTTAATTTTGGAATTCTTGCTTAGGCGTGAACATCAAACTAAACTTTTGAGATTAAAAAAAAATTTACTGGTCCTCCTGCTTCCTCCAGTTCCACTTAAGCAGGCAATATAGGGCTGGTCTAACGGATGGATATAATTTAAAAACTCACACAAGGGCTTGATGAGAATTAGTGGTTTAATTCCACAAGGGTTTTCTTTTAAATCTACCCCCAAATTGATGCTTTTCCCTGCTTTATGTCTTGCTTTCTGGGCTGATTCAGGATTTTCATTATGTCCCACTTTCCTTGCCTTGTTTTCTCCTAAGTTGTGGCTTCATGTTCCGATTTTCTCCAGCCCACTTGGTGCCAAGACAGCTGGAAACATGTCCCAGACCAGGTTGTCTTCATCAGGTGGAAACAATGGTGACAGCAGCGCTCCCTGCTCTAATGAGGCGACGGAGCGAGGGCGGGTGGGGGCGGCCTTTGTGTGGTGTTTTCCACGCCTAACTTCCACGTGGCTTTATTGAAACAAGAATTACACGGAGATGCCACCTGTTGCACTCACTTGCTGATGCTCTGTGTATGTGTGTGTGTGTAAGTCAACATGGGCATTAAAAGATTAATTATCTCAGTTACTTATTTGGCTGCTTTAAGGGAGCATATTATGTTAAGTGCTGTGCAATAGAAGAATTTTAGAACATGAAATTCTCCCTTATATTATTTAGAAGAGACACAAAATATCTCACCTTTGTTTCTCATAAGTATTAGCTCTGCCAAATGAAAAACACGGAGGTCATTTTTTTCAGGCATGGTTTGATCCAGGAGCTCAAACCAAATACCTGGCTGCTTTTTCTCTCTCTCATCTCTGCTTTTCACAGTGTTGAAACTGGGCTCCCAGTGGCCCTCCTCATGTGGTGGCAGAATTGCCGCAGCACTTCCATCTATCACCTCCTAATACCCCTCCATCTGCAAAAAGGGTGAGGGCCTCTTCCTCTAGATTCTGCAGAAGATAGAGAAAACTTGATATCCCAGAATCCACAGCACATGCTCCTCTCCTACCTCTTGTCTCATTTTTTCTCTAATCAGGTCACATTCCTGGCTCCTGACCAATAACTGTGGCCTGGGGAATTGTACGGCTCTCATTGGCCAGGCCTGGTCACATAGTCGCTTTGAAACTGGTGGAGGGGAAACACTCCACGCAAGCCACAGGGGCCCAGAGTGGGACAGGGGTGGTTCCACAAAGGAAGCCTGAGTTCCCTCACCAGGAGAAGAGAGAACAGATGGTGGGCAAGTGAAAAGGCCTGACGTCCCCTGAGCCCAGGAGGTCGTGATGGAGACAGAACTTGAGTGGATATAAATGGGGCAGTGGGTTCATGGACTGGGTCAGGGAAGATGAGAAGGCGGGCGGTGGGGGGACACACACACGTTACTATAGTGCTCACCTCAACAGTGGATGAGGACCTGGGTGAGTGTCTTTATGGTGAAGAGAAGCAGCGTAGCTTCATGGCCTTGAACACCTGGGTGTGAATTCTTGTTCTGCCATTTACCGGGTATTACCTAACCTCTCTGAGCCTTAATTTTCCCTTGCGTAAAATGATTGCACGAGGGTTGTCATGAATGACCCTGAAAACATTATGCTAAGTGGAAGAAGCCAATCACAAAGGACCACATGTTATGATTCCATTTACATGAATGTCCAGGCTAGGTAAACCCGTACAGACAGGAAGTAGATTTGGGGTCGGCTAGGGCCGGGGGAATGGGGGTGTTGGAGGCTGATAGCTAAGGAGTTCGGGGTTTCTTTTCAGGATAATGTTCTAAAATTGACAGAGGTAATGGTTGCACAGTTCTGTGAATATACTGAAAACCATTGAATTATACGCCTTAAATCAGCGAGTTGTGTGATAGGTGAATTACATCTCAGTAAAAATTTTTTAAAAAGGTCATGTGTGTCAAGTGCTTTGAACGGTGCCTGCCACATCCTCCCTGCCCCATCAGACCTGGAGGTCACAGCAGCTGCCAGCTGTCGTAGGACCTTGGAGGCTTCACCATCCCTCAAGCTTAAGTTTACTTCATCCTGCCCTCACCTTTCTGAGCAGTCTCCTCATTAAACTCCACTCAGTTACCCCTATTTGAGTGCCTCTCTTTTCTTCCTGGACCCTGACTGCTTAGAAAGCACCTCTCCAGAAGAAAAGCAGGACTCGGCTAATCAGTCAGGTGGACACTTAACATTGACTAGTAATGGTCAATGTTATGTGTCCACTTGAATGGATTATGGGTGCCCATTTACTCAAACATTATTCTGGGTTTTTCTGTGAGGGTGTTTTTGGTTGAGATTAACACTTAGTAAACCGAGTAAAGGAGATTGCCCTCCCTAATGTGGATGGGCCTCAGCCAATCAGTCAAGGGCCTGAACAGAACAAAAAAGCTGACCCTCCCAAAAGTAAAGGAATTCCTCCGGCCTGACTGCTGAGCTGAGACATGGGTCTTTTTCTGCCTTCAGACTTGAACTGAAACATTGGCTCTTCTTGGGTCTGGAGTTGCCAGCTTTCAGACTGGAACTCCACTGTCGGCTCTCCTGAGTCTCCAGCTTGCCTACTTGCAGATCTTGAGACTTGTCAGCTTCTGTAATCACGTGAGCCAATTCCTTACAAGTCTCCTTTCTCCCTATATGTGTATACACCCTGTTGGTTCTGTTTTTCTCAGGAACCCTAATACTGGACCTAAAGGAGAGATGAGTCAATGGTGAGCTTAAGGCTGAATAATTAGGAAAATGATCAAAATAGAGGCTAAAAATAAGGAAGTCATACCAACGGAACTGACTGGTTTTGGAAGAAGAGGGTTTTTTGGGGTTT